GTTTAATGTCAGAGTAAAATTAGGCACATTGCTCTGTAGTAGTTCTTTAGAAACAAACCTAATTGGTCCTGACCAGTCACCTGGAAAAAAATATAGGCCAGGCAAATAGGAAGAAGACTTTAAAACAAACTTTACTATAGGCAATTCTTTAATGGGTTTTTGGCTTGTCCCTCATGTGTTTTCTGTTGCTGTAAGCTTTGGCTATGCTCATAAACCTGTACAGAACAGCAGAAATGTGAAAGCACTGGCTGCCAGGGGTGACTGTCAGCTTGAAGTTCTAAAAGCTGCTTTCACTGGGTCTTTCTTTGCCAGCCCCTGTGTTCCAGCCTTCCTGCTACTCGGCTTGTGTTGTGTTAGCCCAGACTTGCAGCAGAATGAATTGGAGTTGATGGCAGATGCTTATTACCGCCTGCTGAGAACCTGACTTTGTGTTTTTTCAACTGTATTTTTAGAAGTACACTGAGTGCAGGTGGGTTATAGAAATTCTTAGCAATTTGGCTGTTACTCTTTTCCCATTGTTGTAGCATTTCTCTTGGCTACAAATCCTCATTTCTGTAAAACCGAAGATTTTTGGTATTCCTTCAGCACTAAGTCAGATGATGGAGACAAAATCTTCTGTTCTGGTTTCTAAATATCTCTAGTGTAAACAAAGTCAACAAATTGCTTGTGTGACTGCATAGATTGAATCACTCAGAGCTGGTCTTTTATCTCTTTATCAGAAAGATGCATTTTTAATGGTGAAAACTTAAGTGGAGCACTGTCACCAGCGTGTGAAGCAGCAGACTGCTGTAGATTTAGTAGTACAAAAGGTCTGGATGATCAGTGCTGTACTAACTGCATGGCAGTAAAAACATTTATAGCAGTTAAAAAGAATTTTTTTTTCCCCCCTCTCCCACCCTTCTTTCTGGTTGAGAATAGTTCTTGATATCTGCACTTTGGCTGGCATTTGGATGTGTTTTTGTTTAAGATAAGAACTTTGCCTCAGTGTCGAATGCCTGATACATAGCAGGATGTGATATGTGGCTTATTTGGTCTCTGTTCATGTTTCGCTGCTGTGGCTGGGTTCCCCTATCTTGTGGATATGCAACTTAACACTAACCAAAAGGAGAGTTATGTCTGATTGCTCCTAATTTTTTTTTCACATTGTGCTGTTTTCTAATTGATAGATGTCAAACTCCTTCAGTAATCAGCGAAGCGCGGGGTGTTGATTCCTGTACGACATCCTGTTTCTCTTTTGTTCATTTTTAAGTATACATAGCTAGATCATGAGTGGGACTTGTTATTCAAATCCAAGGCAGCGCGGGTGCTTCCAGCCCAACGTCAGGAAATACTTGGCTTTTGAAACATAACGGTTGCTGCACGGAGCTTTGGCTGTGCCGTGATATCATGAACCGAGCCTGAGGAAATGCTGCGACAGTGCTGCCAGCCCTTTGTGAGAGGGGGATCTTTCTGCACTCACTTATCGCAGCAATCTGCTTCCAAGTCCTCGTGTTCATGACACCAAAGTTTGGTGACAGTTTTGCTTGGGCATGCGTCTGCTTCTGAACTGGAGCCCAAACCAGAAGGTACTGACTGCTCCTGATGTGTGTGCGTGAAGTTCATTCATCTCGCGTCTCTCTGAATGGTGGAAAGGATCTCACACTGCAGCTTGCGTGGTGATGGAGTGAGAGGGGCTGAGCTTCTTCCTTGCTTTGAAAATAATGACCTTGCTAGAACTGCTGTCATTAAGTAGCCAGATTTGTTAGGCATGTTTGTTAGATTAGTACTTCACAGTCATGCTAACGTTTATAAGCCTTATGGTATGAAGAGGGGTTCTGCTTTCTTAATAAATTCCAGACTGAAATTTCCCATGTAGAAGCTAGAAGCAAACTAACAAGAGCTGCAGCTTCTCCGCACAGTGAAATTCTGTCCAGCTGTGGAAATAACGATATACAGCAATTGAATTTTTTTCTGCTTTGCAATATCTGTAGTGTTCAAAGTTTGGGTTAAAATTGAAGGCACGACTTGGACATTACTGCAGGATGCATTTGAATGTTATCCCTCCTGTAAAAAGGGGAGCTCCACCGTTGTTCACTGGAGGCTGTTGTAAATTCGAAGAGAGTATATATTTTTTTTTCAGTGCTTCAACTTCTACCACTGCTATTCAAGAAAGGGTGCAGTATCACCATGGAGATACTCTGCCTGTTGTAGAGTTGTGACAGACTCTTCTAGTGTTATGCTGCAGCATGCATGACTTAGTAGGCTTGATAGCCTCTCTATATTACAACTTCAAGATATTGGTGATAAACATCTCATAACTGAAGTTCTTTGTTGCGGTTTTAAGGCAGGGTTGATAACGTTAGAATTAATGTTAACAAAAACCTAGGAGCATGACATAAGAAGATGTGCAAAGAAAATTTGTATATATTAATATATATAAAATATAAATACATATAAATATATATTTATATTTATTTATTTTCCTGTAGTCCTCTCTGGTTTTAATCAAGTCAGATAAAAGAGCTTGCATTAGTTACGTCAGTTAAACTGGTATTTCCAACATGAAAATACATTTCTACGTTGAATACGGTGAAGTTTCTTGGTGTATAGTAGAATAGTTCTTGGCAGTACTATTCACATACGCTTTGAATAGTGTACTACTTATGCATGAGGAAGGTGTTTGTTCTCCATTATGTATTGACGCTGTTGTAGGTCTAGTTACAAGGGACAGAAATGGATGGAGCCCATGAACTGCAGAACTAGAATTAACGGATCTAGGGTATTAATATATCTGTTTTCTAGCCAGAGCTAAGTGCTGCAGCCTTAGTCTACGCTAACTGGCCAAATGGATGATGTACTGCAATAGCTCATAAGGTCATGGGGGAGGTGGGGTGAAGGGGATGTTAGGTGCAAATGGAAAAGACTGGGAGACCATTTGGCTAAAATTGATGCTGTCATTAGCTTCAGCTTACCAAAACTCTACTGTCTGTAGTAAACGGAGTTTGTGACAGTATAACACTTCTCACACTTTACTTCTTAGGTTGTATATTCAGAGCTGAATCTTATTGTAGGTGATGCAGAACTTCACCAGTGCCATCTGTTTTGAGTACAGCTAACTTTGCTTATTGAATCGCCATGTATTGAATCAGCTCTAATTGGTTAGTGATTCATACAATCCTAGGCTACTCAAATATAAATAACAAATTTAATTTGGATTCCCAAGTGTTTTTTTTTTTTTCTCCTTAATTAGACTCATTTGATAAATCCTGTTTCCCTGGAGTGAAATATTGCCTCTTTAGTGTCATTATGAAGCTCTTCTTACTTGCCACAGTCCTGTATGTTTGGTTTTGGTGGTTCGTTTTTTTGTTGTGGTGGGTTTTTTTTTTCCCTCCTCATCCAAGTGTTGGAATGTTCCTCACACTGAGGAGCAGAACTAGTGTCACGGTCTAGTCTTGTACTTTTGGTGCTCGCTGGCCATCCTTGTATTTTTGGCCTCTTGCATTTGTAGGGGTTTTGGTACAGGCCCTGAAGAAGGATCTCTGCTTTTTGAGTCCTCCTGGCTCTATTCAGAGATGTAGGAGTTACTACGAGCACTGCTTCAAGGATCGTAAAGTTCACGTGCCACTGTTGTCTCCTGACAGGCATGTGCAGTTCTTGACATGCTGGAGGGGAGAAAAGCTCATCTGAAGCTCTTGCATGCATTTTGTTTGGTATCAATTTATTAATACCTGACAGAGTTCAGTGTGCCTGTAATTGTTTAAGCATAAGGTCACTGTTGTACTAGAGGAAGCTTTGTGTGCTGTTCCAAAACATTTGAGTAATGTATAAGGGTGTTGTTTAGTCCCTTCATCTAGATAACACACCATATCTGTCTAGTTCTTCGTGAAGCTTGTCAGGATCTTTGTTTTTCTGACAACTTTTCTGTTTTTTTGCCTGGTGATGTGTAGGCTCCTGTGTTTTAGCTCCTAAGGACCTTGCAGCTTCTACTTTGGTAGCTCATCCTCCTCTTTTCTCTTAAGTGTTTAAAGTGAGAAGTTAATAGACTTTTTACATCCTGCGGTCAATAAATACAATGTATTGGACAATTAACATTTGGAATGTCAGTTTAAGGTGCTTATAATGTTGATTTGTATACACTGGGAATATGTCTTACAAGCTCGTATTATCTTATCAATGTAGGGGTTTTTTTAAATGTTTTAATTTTTTTTTGGTCACTGCCTTGTTCTGCTTCATGTAATAGTCTGCTACTTCTCGAAAGTTTAGGGAAACTTAATGAATAATACCTATAGGCATGGCCTACATTATGCTTTGGCTTTCTCCTTCTGGTTTGAGACCTGCTGTCCCAGCATGGCACCATCGCCTCCTACCTTTCTGCCTGAGAAGCCTTCTGCAGCTCCTTTTGGGAGTCATCTTCTCCTTCTCTGCCCAGCAATATTTGGAAAAAGGTGATAGGCCCCCAGACCATGGGACCTGGGAGAGGCAAAGCATGGGAGAATTAATTCTTCTTGCATTGAACCACCACTAGCACCACTGTATGTGTTCGGACTTGAAGTGTGCTTCTCTCACCCTGCAAATACGCTGCCTATCCCCCTCTACTCAGTCTCCCTCTGACATAACTATCTTGAAGGCTTGATGACAAAAATTCTGCGTATGTTAAATGGATTAATTGCTTAAATATTTATTCATATACAGGTGAATGCTGAAAAACTATGAGATAACTCATTTAACCTTTTTGTTTTGGTCTACTGTAACACCTGGTAGTGTATGTCCAGGACGATCTGCAATGGCCCTGTGGGTTTCAGGAATAAGAATCCCATTTCTCCCCTTTGGCTGCTTAATTTCATGAGACTGCTGCAGGGAAATACTAGAAAGTAGAAATACATTAATAAGTTATGAATGTTTTGGGAGTCTGTCTTCTTAATACTACTAAACTGATTTCTAAAAGTAGTTAAGTAGTTTCATCCTGTTAATTCAATATTTTAAAATCTCTGTTCTGCTTACTATCTTGTCTAACTTCGCCCTGCAATTGCAGCATTAACAGGTAAAAAGCTAATATCCAAATCCAAAAAAAGTTACACAACTTTGATGGCGAAACTTTTGTGACTGGGGCTTCTTGATATACAGAGCAGCAAAATGTCAAAACCCAATGATATATGCCAAAGAACTGTGTAAAAAGCCACAGCGGGATGGTTGCTATGCTTGATAGTTGTGTAACTTTTCCTGTATCTTGCATTTCAGGAAAATATAGATGCAAACTCTTGTTTAGACTCCACTTGATCCCAGTTGTTTTTTGTCCAAAGTCAAAACATTAAATGAAAATATTGTAATCTGATCAGGTATGTCTCAGATGGCAGTGGAGCCTGGTTCTTGATAAGGTGGTATCACTCTGGAAGTAAACAGGGTCAGGTCTAACAATACAAGCTGGCACGTTGTCAATCATTGTGCACATCATTATCAGTGTACAGTTATTCCTTGCAGTAAAGACCAATAAAATCCAGATGTATGACTAATCGCCTAGCAATGTTATTATCTGTCTTCCATCTTACACTTGAAGCTGTTTTTCACACAATACTATCTGGAGAATCCATGAAACAACCAACAAGCATCTGGAAGTGGTTCTGGACCATCTGTCAGATACTTCTTATCCTTTGTGATATCTCTGTATTACATTGTTTTCCTTTTCATCTGTATATAAGAAAAGTATTCATAACTGTGGAGGTTAAATGGGTCTCAGTTCTTTCACCTTGGTTTATCACTTTAATTCTGCAGATAGGTAAAAAAAGTAGGAAAAAAGTGAATACTGATGAGGGTGCACTGTGAAAAAATAGCCTGTAAAAAGGTTATCTAAACAAAGCAGGGAATAAGGATCGGCTGGGCATTATGAGCTGAAACCACTGCTCTAATGCTAGGATCCCTCTATGCTGAAGTGAAAATACCGTAGCAATTTATGTGGTAGGGAGAAGCAAAAGCTATACAGGGAGCAGCGACTGTGAAATGGTAATTGTGACTCAAATACTAGTGTCTGAAGAGTATGCATAATCTGGAAAAGATGAGAATAAAAACAAGTGATAAATAGGTATGGTGGGTTTTTTTTTAAGTAGAATAGCAATTACTTAAAACCGTATATATGCTTGCGGGGGAGATGTCTGAGAGAGGAGGGGATGGATGTGGAATCTTATTGTGGTAGACTTGGTAGTGTCTTATCTCCAGCCTATTTGGACATTCACTGGCAGGGGTAGGAGGGGATAGGATGTGTTAGGAAGCTATTTGGTATTATTAGTAAGACTGAAGAATTTATTTTCCAATCTTCTATCTCAAAAGTGAGGAGCAAGTGGCAGAAGTCATTTACTGGAGTGGAAGTGATGCTATGCTTTTTAAAAAACAAAACAACAAACAAGTTGCCAATTAAACATTTGTTATTCTAGTTGACTGTGTGTAGAATTTATGCCTTTTGAATAGAATTATCAATTGTAACTGTACTTAGAATAGAATTATAAGTGAATAGTCCTGTAACAGGTTCTGGATTCTAACAAGGAAACTGTTAATTAGAAGACAGCTAGCTAGCTCGTGAATTTTGCTAAAATAGAGAGCTAAGGAATTTAAACTCTAGAGCTTCTTTAAGCACAGACCATAGAAAGAATAAGAGGACTGATCAGTAGAGAAAGAGCTGCATCTTGGAATATGAATCAGAATGTATAAAGTGAGAATTGTCCATGTCCAGCTGAGCTGGCATGGCTGGGAGGATGTGCACCTTGGGCAATGGTAAAGCAGCCTGGTAGTGAGAATGAGTGAAGATTAAATACACTTTAGTATCTGTGTCATATCAAGTCTAACTTTTAGCCTCACTGAAAACTGAGATGATGATGATGACATCTATAGGGATGAAAGCCAAACGGTCAGTAGATCTTAGGGTGAATGAATTTCATTTTGCAATAAATGAACTGGAAGCAGATTTAAGTTGAATGCTCAATGGATAAGGCATGTGTAATGGGAGATGGGGATTAAGACGAGGTAATTTTCCACTGTGACTTGCAAAAGTATTGGCATATGAGATTGCTGCCTCATTAGCAAGTTTCAACTGGTGTCCTGACTGAAAGAAAGAGATACTGTAGGGAGCATGGTTTATTTACTAAGGTGTGACTTCAGAGTTATATTTTTATTTTAAAACAGAAAAAATACTGTGAAACAAATTATCAAATTTTGTAGATATGTTGGGCAGCTGTATGGAATACAAAAGCTGTTGATTGATTGCATTGGATTAGGTGAGTGTTGAGAACCGATTTCTCTTGTGAAGAAAATCAGATAGGTGTTCTGTCTTAATATCACTGTCACTAGTAACTTACCCAATGCATGTAACATAATGCCATTCATTGTCCTTCCAGAGAAGATGAGACCTGGTGAGAAATACATTTGGTTAAGCAGAGGTAGTTGCTGTTGAAAGAGCAACCAGAACCACTCTAATCTGCAGTTAGTAGAGTTGGACAAGTACTTGTTTTCCTTAGTGAAGGCAAAATGAAAAAGGAGCTTGCATAATAAATAGGTTGATACTGAAGGCAGACATCCTCCCATGGTGGTTAGGATAAAATGGAAGACGAACCATGTGGCCTTAAAAGACTGAATGATACAGGGCTGAATTCAGGAGTTTCTACCGGAGAATTGTTTGGCCTTTCAGGGGTTAGTAGGAATCTGTAGGTAAGAATGACGGAGGAGAACAGAGATTTGGGTGTGCTTCTTAATTGCATGATGACTGAGACAGCAAAGAATTGTGACCTTAAAGTAAGCTATGTCATAGGGTGGATGAGACGAGGTTTTTGTGGCAGATAATAAACGAGAGCTAATGCAATTGTACATGGTACTTTGGTAAAATTTTGGTAGACTTGCTGGCTGTATTTTAAAACTGTCAGTTGAAACATACAAGGATTGCTGGTCTCTCTTTCACCAAACTGTTTCCACAACTGTGCTAAGAATGGAATATCTGTCTCTGCAAAATAGAAACAAAGAAACAGTGATGGCCCTATGCAAAATAAATCAGCAAGAGATGCTAATGTGGGAAGAGGATTAAAGAAAAGAGAAGGCAGTCTCAGTAAAAACAAACCAACCAAAAAAAAAAAAACCACAAAAAACCCGAAAATGGTGAACGTTTGTCAGTAGACCTTCTGGTAATTTTAAACCTTATGTTCTGAAACAGGTTCCAGTAAAAAAATAAGAAATTATTTGCTTTGCTTCCTGCATAAATTATCTATGCAGAATTTAGCATTTACTATTTTTCTATTGTCAGCCAAGAAGCTAGTGGCACTCTACTGAAGAAATAACTTGTGTAAATACTTACATTAACAAACGTTTGATGTGTCACTGTCTGTGCTATCTCATTTGTGGCTATTAAACAGACCTTTCAAACTGTCTCTTAGGTTCCTGATGTCATCAGCAGCATAAGACAAGTCTCCAAAGCAGCACTGAAAGAAGATGCAAAACCAAATAAGGATAGTGAAGATGCCTTCTATGACTCTCAAAAATTTGAGGTCTTGTACTGTGGAAAGGTGACAGTGGCTCACAAGAAAGCTCCCTCCACACTAATTGATGATTGCATTGAGAAATTCAGCCTTCATGAGCGCCAGCGCCTGAAACTGTTAAATGAGCAGCGCAATAACGAGTCGAGTTTGGACTTACCCCTGTGTGAAGGAAATGTGCCGGCTTCTCCATTGGATAGTCCATTTGAGGAGCTGGACAGCCCAAATAACACCACAGGGCATGCTGCAATGTTTACAATCGGCAGCCAGACCAACTTGACCAACCTGGCCAGCACCCGTGGCTCATTTCCAGAGCGAATTTTAGAGGACTCTGGGTTTGACGAGCAGCAAGAGTTTCGCACACGCTGCAGCAGTGTCACTGCAGTTATGCAAAGAAAGGTTCATGACACAAACCTGAAAATACAGCCACGCAGAAGACATGCAAGTGCACCCAGTCATGTTCAGCCCTCTGATTCTGAGAAGAACAGGACAATGTTGTTCCAGGTGTGTGCTAGGATGAGCAGTTTCATGTTGTTTTTTCCACCGTGTCTCCTCCTGTGCAGTTTGAAGCTGAGACGAGTTTTGCAAGATAAGAAGTATGGATGCAGTATGGTTTCATGATTTGTCATAAATATTTATGTATCTGTTCATAAATGGTTGGAACACAAGTAGCTGAATTTTCTTAAGGAAGTCACCTCAACTTAAGAGCTCAGGTAGATTTTGAGAGAGGAATTGCTCATGGAGTAATTACTTACAGGACCAGATTTTCTAGGGAAATAATTATTTTACATGCACTTCTGGTTCATCTGTATTGTGAGATCTAGGGCATAGCTGAAAAAAGTGAGTATTCTTTCAAGATGAGAATTGATTAAGACCTCCATGTGAACAAATCCTCTTTTTTGTGCAGTTAAAAATAAGCTCACAACTTCACATAAGGCTTTCATAGTCTTATGTTTGAGTCAGCCCCTTTATGATAACTTGTACTGATGTTCTTTGTCTTTCCCAGATGAGTACTCAAACATCTCTGCACTGAAGGCTTCTTCCTTCAGCCCTTATGGTTATTTCTTCTTTTGCCTGAAGTGTATTTGACATCTTCAGAGCTTGTATTGAGAAAACAAAAGGACAATTAAAGGAGGTGACCCATAAAAAGAAAGATCTTTGGACCTTAAAATAACAGCGGGCTAAATGCCTAGGTTTTGTCTTTCCATTTGGTTTAGAGGTCATTCTTGCCTTTTATTCTCTTGGGGAAATGCTAACTGAAGTGAGAATGCATTGCCCTTTAGAAAGCTACAGCTATCACTAGTAATGAAAAGGATTTAGCCGAGAAACTCTCCAGGCTCTATGGAATAAGTTCCATATGCTTGAGAAGCAGCTTGGGAAAGCTGAAAGGTAGCTTGCTGGAGAACCTAATCTTTCTCATCCGGAATTATGGCAAAACCAAAAAGTATCACCTTACAATCAACATAGTTTCTCAGCTGATCTATGGTACAGTTTTCAAAAAAATGATAAATCCACAAATTCTGTTTTTTATTGCAGCTTTTAATTTAGCCACATTGTTTACTAAAGTTTTTAATATTGTCTGTCAAACGTGTGATCTTTGGACCAAAATAACTCAAAAAGAAAAGGGGGGGAGGGGGGAGAAGCTGTCGTCTTTGCAAGTCTTTTTCCTATTCAACTGATTGTCTTGTTCTTGCTGAAATGCTCTTACTCAACATAGGCTGAATTATGGCACCCTTGTTACTGCTGAGTAAGCTGTTGTACTTTATGTGAACAAGAAAGGGCTAGATTGTGACATTTTTGTTGCTGTTAATGTTGTGCCTCCAATACAGTCATAAACTAGACTTAATTTTCTCCCCTGCTCCCCTCCCCCCAGGTTGGAAGGTTTGAAGTTAACCTCATCAGTCCGGACACTAAATCTGTTGTGCTTGAAAAGAATTTTAAAGATATCTCCTCATGTTCTCAGGTAAGCATTAATAAGAAGCAACATGTAGATCATCAGGAGAGAAGGAATTTATTTGTTCTTCAGCTTGGTTGCCTTGCTGGTCTATAGGCAGAAATGTAGAATTTGTTTTCAGCATTCTGTGCTGCTTTCCTTTGTTTAGTCTCAAAGGCCATTTTTAAACAGTATCTAAAATCCTATCTAAATTACCCTGAATGAAAGTAAATTGCTGGTTTACCCCATTGGCTTCTTAATTAAAATTTAAAAAAAAAAAAAAGAGGGGGATTCTGAGCAATTGTGACTAATGTATATACAAATCCTGTGTGAAGTTTGATGCGTTGACTTCTTTGGGGAGTACAGCTGAAGAAATTGGATACTGAACTGTGATTGCTTGAAGTACTGATTTGTCTTTACAAGAGTGAGAGCTGTTATTCAAATCAGGGCTTTCGCTCATCTGGTAGCAGGATCAAGTAGATACTGCACGAAAATAATGCAATGTCACTCCCAAACAGCTTAAGTACAGAAAAGATGAGCACAAAATAACCAGTCTGAGCTGTGGTAGTGGCAACTTTGATCATTGGTCAGAAAATAAAGTATGAACTGTTCTGCTTTGGGAGACCGTTGGATGTAATTTTGGAAGTAGCTTAATCTCCATTTAGGATGCTCTGAGTGTGCTGTTTCTGAGCAGCTAAGCTCCTTGAAAGCCTTTGGAGTGAAGGGAGGAGAGCATCAGATCAGCCCGTCAGAAAACAGCAGTTCATCTCCGTTTCTCCTGGCGAATGTGGCAATAGGTGAACCTAGCTACATGTGGTAATAAATAAATGCGTCTTATAAAGTCAAATGCCAGGGCTAAGGGATTCACCTTTCTATCTTGCTGTTGTTCAGCATCTGTTACTTCTGGCACTTTCTGTTTTGAGGTCTTATTTTATTACCTTCTTTCATTCACCGTGCACATGCATCGCTTCAGTCCTCCTTAAAAATTATTATTCTAGTTTAAAGTACACTTCCTAGCATGGTCTAAACCTGTATTTCACCCCCAAGTGCTTTCATTTTAATGCTAATAACAAATCTGCTCTTCCATGACTGTGCTACCAATGCTAATACAAATTAAGAACTGGTCAGTACTTGTAACTCAAGTGGAGTCTTGAACTACCACCGAAGGGTCTAGGCTTTTAAGTCGACTCCGCTGTTTAGCTACAATTTGTATTACTCTTGGTAGAGAAAAAAGTCAAGTGCAAATATAGAATAGGACAGTATAATCAAGCAATGATATATTAATAGCTTTGTAATAAATACAGATCAAAGAGATTCTTAAAGCAGTGGTATGGAAAGCAAAATTTGCATATGGCTTGAGTCTTCTCTGGCTTTGTGGGTGTACTGAGCTGCATAAAAGTGATACTTCAGCTTCATGTACTGGGCTTCTGGGTTGCATGTACGTACTGATAATAGACAAACAAAAGGGACAACTGTTCTGCTGACTTTAAAGCATAGTGGAGATGAGCAAGACCATGGCAGACCTTCAAGGCCTAGCTTTCCTTCAGTAAAATAACTGTGTACAGTAAATAGTGTTAGGTAATGCTGTGTTTTGGGCTTTGGAGGTGGAGTTTGTCACTCCACCTCTTCACTTTCATTTGGAGCAAGGCTTTTGTTATTTTGCATGCTTGAATAGCTCAAACAGGCACTAACAATACTGTAGGGGTTTTGGTTGGTTTTTTTTTTTAATGCAAAACAGCTACTTTAGAGAAGTCAGGATTTTTTTCTATGTTCAATAGAAATGAAACATTAATTTGTTCAAGACTAAGGATTTGGTTGCATAAACCTCGTCGGTGGTATTTTTAAGAACTCGGCGCTCGCCACAGGGCTTCTCTGTTCTGGATTTATAGGGCAGTGATTTACTGTGTATTGTGAGACTGCAGCTTAGGAATGTTTGTTCTTCTAAGCTTTACAAACGATGAAAAGGACATGTTCTCTTCAGCTTGTGTTCTGGATTCTTTTCATCTGGTCTAATAAAGGTATTTTTATTTTATAGCTAAAGTATGGTTGATCTGCTGCATTCAATTCATTATCTGCACTCCATATAATTGTCAAAGCAGCAAATGTAATTGATGATAAACCCCTTTGTGTGCTGTCTAAGTTCAAGCGTCAGGCAGCTTGAGTTTTCTTGTTGCAGCCTTGCTGACCTTGAGGGAACCCAGAACAACAAGCAAATTTTGCTCTTTTGGCATGACAAGTCCAGCCATCCACTTAAAGAAATGCGATGGAGATGCTGTTAATTGAGGAACGTACTGTGCTATTTACACTTCAGTGGTGCAAGAGTCACGTCTGTCTCCCCACAAATGTTGTCCTGTGGAGAGTGAGAAATCAGACAGCAGTAGGGTTGTTCAGGCACTGTCAGCAGTGAGGGAACTGGCATCTCGCTGAACCACCTTAGGTAAATATGGTTTACTTGCAAAACAGAGGGCAACATTTTACTGTTACAAAGATCAACATATGTGCATACATCTGTTCTTTTTCGTTTTATACTTTTGAAGACTTCACCTATCACAGGAAAATGGGTTCAATTAAGTCACGATTGGTATGGACTGTAGTAAACTAATACCATTTGTTCCATCTTAGAAGCCCTCTGCACCTTTGTTAAGTTTTGTTTAAGTAGCACAAGTGTAACTTTTGGAATTTTGTTTTTAAAAACTACAGTGTGTAGTGACAATATGTTCAGTCTGTCACGTAGTGTGTTACCAATTTTGTCTAGAGTGTTTTCTGACAAGCAAGTTGTTTTGCCTCCTCCCCTCTTTTATGATATAGGTGTTTTCTTTGGAGATGGATCCAAGGAACCGAGTTATACTTTCTGTTGTATTTGAACTTGAGGGATTAAGCTTCGTTTGGAGAAAATCAACTAGTACCATACTCACATGATAAAAACATTGGCAAAAGCTTTAACAATAGTGAGTCATGTTCCATGAATTGAGACTGGCAATATAGTGCTTCTTAGGAAGCAGCTCTCTGATCTTCTCAGTGCTGTTTTTAGCAAGGCAACGTTCCCTGTCAAGCAGTTAGACTAGGATCTTGAAAGAAAACATCAGTAGTAATGTGTAGTAAGTCTTGAAACTTCTGGCGTGTAACTCAGTCTCAAAGAATTTATTTAAGAAGTTGGTTGGAATTCTGCATGTCACCACTCATTCCCTGCTCTTTTTTGGTGTAGTCTAAACTTGTATTACAGGAAAGCAAAGATCCGTTGCTACTTTGATGCTAGTCTAGTCCCATGTTTTAGTGTGGGTTCATGGCATAAAGTTTTCACTGCAGAGGCAATTCCAAATACAACCTAGGACTCTTGTTCACTTCCCTGAAAATCTGTTTTTCTTAGTGGGAGAAATTCGGGTCCAGGTCTATTGCTGTATAACTTTTGTTCTGATTGTCTAAAAAGATTTATGTAACACTTAAATGCAAAAAGCAGTTGAAAAGATAACTGTTGTGGTTGTAAACCAGATCATTATTATGCATTTATAGTTTCTCAGATTTTTGTGTTGGCAAGTGTTGGAGTCTGGCGACTATTTTTAGGATCACTTTGGAAACTAAACTTTTTTATAAAATACTCCACTAATGCTGTTTTTAAACTCTTCTAGGGTATAAAACACGTTGATCACTTTGGCTTCATTTGCCGGGAATCTGTTGAACCTGGGTTAAGCCAGTATGTTTGCTATGTGTTCCAGTGTGCAAATGAGTCTCTGGTGAGTAGTTATTAATGACCCTAACTTTTCCATCGAAGCATGTCTGAGACATTTCCTAAACCATGGGAGTCTCTGTTATTCTGCTGTGTCGGCTGAGCCTCAGCGGTCACGTCTTCTCAGATGTGAGACCTCAGTTGTGAATGTGAAAACATGCGATAGGTAATGCATGCGTTCTGTTCATATATATCCATATCCTGGTACTCTGCTGGTGCATGTATTAATAACAAATAGAAAAGATGCAGATGGATAAGTTCGTACATGCAAACTGTGAGCACATTTGGGCTCTATATTTGATTATAACTGTTGCATTTCTAATTGTTGAGACACTTGGTTCCCCGTCAAAGATGTAATTACATGTATTGAATCAGTAACGAAGCTGATGATAAAACCCGAACATACTTTTCAGGATAGGGTTTAGCCTGCATGTGGCTTTAGCATTTTCCCTGTAGTCTGTTTTGCTTATCAGGAGAAGAATATAGCAACATCTGATCAGAGAAGAATAAAACCATAATGTGTATGGATGTGTAGCATTTTCCCTGTAGTCTGTTTTGCTCATCAGGAGAAGAAGATAGCAGCATCTGATCAGAGAAGAAGAAAACCATAATGTGTATGGATGTATCTATAAAAAGTCCATTGGACACTTGATAAAGTATATATCAATCAACTGAAGTTCCAGGTGCCGGTGATTTAACCGATACAGGTAGCTTAATAGTATGAGATGCATACAGGAAATCATTTTGGCTACTACATTTTTATTTTAAAGCTCTGATGCTTTAACAGAAGTTGTTTTCTCTTCTGAAATATGTTTGTTTCTGATGGCTGTGCTAAGAGCTGCTAAGTCTTTCTCAGCTAGCCTTAAAAATCACTAGCCAGCTGAAAATGTGATTTGTTAATCCATTGACTAGCTTGAGAGTGAATAGATTTAAGTCAATAAAACTTAAAACAGCTAACAGCCCTAGATGTGCAATGGCAGCTGAGGCTGCATTTTTATCAAAATGAGAGCTTGATATGAAATCAGCTCTATCTTTGTACTAACAGAAAATGTTACATCTGACCTATTGGTAAATCTGACCATACATAATTCAGAGACTTAAAATGTGGTGTATAAAGAAACCGCGTATTTATGAACCTCTTTACATATTCTGGTACTGATATGTGTGGGTATGCCCACATTGCAATATGAAATTAACATTCCTGAGCTACTTTCAGATGCAATCACTTGCACTCCAGTCACAGTTTGACTATGGCAGGGCAGAGCTGTAAAACCTAATGCCTTCCAGATTCTGTGCTACCAGGCTGGCTATTGCTGGGTTTGGGGCAATCCCAAGCACAAGTACAGGCTCGGTGAGGAATGGCTGGAGAGCAGCCCTGAGGAGAAGGACCTGGGTGTGCTGATTGACCAGAATCTCAGCATGAGCCAGCAATGTGCAATCGCAGCCCAGAAGGCCAACCGTATCTTGGGCTGTATCAAAAGAAGCGTGGCCAGCAGGTCAAAGGAGGTGATTCTGCCCCTCTACTCCACTCTTGTGAGACCCCACCTGGAGTACCGTCCAGCTCTGGAGTCCTCAACATAAGAAGGACATGGACCTGCTGGAGCGTGTCCAGAGGAGAGCCACGAGGATGATCCGAGGGATGGAGCACCTGTCCAATGAGGAGAGGCTGAGAGAGCTGGGGCTGTTCAGCCTGGAGAAGAGAAGGCTCCGGGGAGATCTTATTGCGGCCTTCCAGTACCTAAAGGGGGCCTACAGGAGAGCTGGGGAAGGACTTTTTACTAGGGCATGTAGTGACAGGACGAGGGGGATTGGCTTTAAACTGGAAGAGGGCAGGTTTAGATTAAACATTAGGAAGACATTTTTCACTTTGAGGGTGGTAAGGCACTGGAACAGGTTGCCCAGAGAGGTTGTTGAGGCCCCATCCCTGGAGGTGTTCAAGGCCAGGCTGGACGTGGCCTTGGGCAACCTGGTCTAGCCGGAGGTGTCCCTGCCCATGCCCATGGCAGGGAGTTTGGAACTCGATGATCTTCAAGGTCCTTTCCAACCTAAACCATTCTATGATTCGATGATATTGGTGATCTTGTGTATATTTGCTCTAAACCTAGCTATGTTATGAGGTACAGTTCTCATAATTTTAGTGTAGTCATAATCCATATGCTTAGCACTGTTCTGTGGATCTTCTGTTTGAGAGGCATCGTTGCCAACTTTTAAAAATTATGAGTCTGTGTTGCAAGACAGGTATTCACTGTTCAATGCTCTGTTTTATTGCTAAGAAGAGAGAGCATCCAGAAATTACTAGTACTGCTTAAAACTGTGGGTTTTAATAAATAAACCCTAAACACATTGGGACACAAATTTTCACATTCAGATGCCCTTTTTTCTTTCCTTTTTTTTTTTGGTTTTGTTTCTTTTTCCTCAAAAATGTTTGTGTGTTTCCAATGTTAGACTGCATGATTTTAGTCTCAAATATTTCAGCTTTTTTCTTCCTGCTTATTAGAAAAAAACCAAACCAACAGGTAAGAGCAAGCACCTGATTCTGAAGTAGACTACTAATTTCTTTAAGATTGTCATCAAGCTGTTGTCTCCTCCTTTCCATGCTAATGCAAAGACTCAAGTAAACAGCTTTTAATAAGCATTGTATTCCCCTAAAATACCGACAGAGGAACTCCCAAGTGATTTGTATCTTAAGATCTGGGAGTGTATTTGAATGAGTGCAAAGAAATGCTGTCACCTTGACCTTTCTTACACAAAAGTTGAGCTTTTGCAGTGCTGGTGTGTGGGAACATAGCACTGCTGTGTTTCTGGTAGTGGCAGAAGAAAGATCAGGGCAGACTGCAGGGTGGGCTGGCAGTTCTTAAAGATAGGTTGATGATTGTAATGAAGCTGGTAGCCAGTCTAGTAGCCTGGAGAAAGTGAACTGCTGTGGGAAGCTTCTGTCTGCCAGCAGGATGGGTCTGTGGGGTTTTGTTCTAAAATGGTACAGTAGTGGGAGGAAAATGGTTGAGAGGGAGCATGTGCAGTTTACAGGAGAAATTTGAAGCTAAAGAAAAATAAATTAATGCTTTTAATTTAGCCAGTATATATTCAAGCCGAAAATTCCCACCGGCGGGGACTTAACACAGCAGCTGCCTGCCCAGTAAGCTTGAGTAGTTGCAGTTAGATATTCAAAATTACACTCTCTGAAGTAACAACAACTTGAAGATGGTGAGCTTCCACAGAAAAGGCAGAAAAGCTGGGAATACAACCTTGATCTCTTTAGAAGACAGCAAATGGGTTTTTTTGATTGTAAAGCACCTGTCTATGATGTGATTTATAAATCTAATTTGATGTATATGGCATGCACTTTTGTTTATATGCTGTCTTTTCCCTCATTCCCCTTTAGGTTGATGAGGTAATGCTTACCCTAAAGCAAGCCTTTAGCACTGCTGCAGCTCTGCAAAATGCCAAGACGCAGATTAAGCTGTGTGAGGCCTGCCCTATGCATTCATTGCACAAACTTTGTGAAAGAATTGAAGGTAGCAGCTGAGTTTATTTTCTAATTGTGTTTTTCTGATTATTCTAGAAGAATTTTACTGTATCTGTTAATTTTAATCATGTCAACCATGCACTTTCAACTTAAACAGCGGAAGAATGGAGGGAAAAGTATCCCAATAAGCAATTCTTACCACCACTTTGCACTCTCTGTAATCACGTGTAGGTGATAGCAGTAATGATATTGCAACTGGATATAGTATAGCTTGCTTTATAAATATGGCTTTTTTTTTTTTTTTTTTTTTTCTCTGAAGATGCATGTTTTCAAAATGGGTCATAAAAAGGTGGTTGTGATCAAAAAGGGTCTTCCTTTCTCGTGTTCTTTCCTGTGTGGGATTATTTTTTCCTTCTTTGCATTTATTCTCTTACACACTTTAAAACCTAGTTCTATTATGGTAAATAAATGATTAAGTTAGGAGTTTAATGTAGAAAGTTAAGGCAACTACCTGGCTTCAAATATGAATACACAAATTTTTGTAGTTTCTCTTGAAGTGATGTATGCCAGAACACATGCAAAAAGTCTTATATGATAGAATTAAAAAAAAAAAACCAAACAGTTATAGTAGCAGGGTCCTATTTTTATAGACACTCCACTATGTCTCCTTGCGAAGTATTGTATGCAAAAAACCCAAATATGCTACACTAGTCTTGTATCTTCTGGTCTGGTGATGATGGTGCTGATAATTGCCAGTTCTCCCATTCATTAAAAGTCACTGTTGCTACTTACCTCCCTCTGGTGGATGAAAAGCAAAGTATAAAATCTTAGTGGAGTGAAATTCTGTTAGGTCGTGACTGGTATTTTCTGGGTTAACAACAGATATTCAGAAGTGGTCAAGCTTGACTGGGAAAGTCTTCTGTCAATTAAAAACTATAGAGGGTGCTGTATAAGGCAGTGTAAGTGTCTCGAATACAGGTACTTGCAAGCCTGGTACGGATATCCAGTATCAAAATCTTTTCTAGGGTAACAACTTTTGAGTATTGTCATAGTAGTTTCATAAACTAGTTAGTCACTTCAGTCACTACTTAGTGACAGGAATACTTATTTTAGTGTCCCTTTCTTTTTATCCATCTGCTTTGTTTAAAGTCTAGAAGTTTATCATAATCAAAGCCAGGGCTTCCTGACTTTGGAAAATCTTGATCTGTTCTGATTGCAATTCTCTATGAATGATATCTTGGATGGAAAAAACACATATCTTCATCTGATTTGTGGGGGTTATTTTCCCCATAGTTTTTGCAGCTTCCTAGAACAAACTCTGTGAGCAAATGTGCACTTTACTGAATATCAGAAATCCTTTCCTGTATTCTTATGGCTTTTATATGCTGGTCTTCAGTTCTCTGGTATGACCTATACCCTACCATTTGCTTCTGTAGAAATGCATGTAGACTTTTTCAATTAAATGCACCTGAAAACTTCTGAGTATCTTGTGCATGGAGTATCTTTCCGGTTATATTCCTGATCTGTTCCTCTTTTCCTCCTATGCCATACACTTGTCAGGCTTCTGTCTTAGTGATCTCTTGGTGCTAGGACAGAAGACGTCACTGGGGTAGGGAGCACAACCTTTTACACAGGAGCCAGCCACTTAGCTGCTGCAAGTTCTGTTTTTACTGCTGAAAAAGGGAGAGAAAACCATGTGGTTTAGCAAAAGCTGAAGTATTTTGTGTCATGGATATGGCAGATACACAACTGTCATACGTTAAACATGTATAAACTCAAATGCAGGTTATATCTTCTGTTATCATTTTTTCAGAAGTTTTTTGAGACGTCATTTGAGAATCTAGAAACTTTAGTGCTCCTTTCTTTTCTCAGGACTCTATCCACCAAGAGCCAAACTTGTAATTCAGAGACATCTGTCGTCACTAACTGACAATGAGCAAGCAGACATTTTTGAACGTGTTCAGGTAATATGTTAGATGCTGTTGTCTCAAATTTGAAAAAGACCGTGATAAAATGGACTAGATGTTTTTTCTTTTGATTGTTTTTTATGTTCTGTAGTTGATCTAGAATTTATTAGTGTTCCACCAAACACCATACTGAAATAGCATGCTCCAACCTCATGTATGATACACTGCTATCAGAAAAGTTTTGGTTCCCAAGTCTGCTGAGATGTTCTGTGTTCATACCCAGAGTATTTTTTTTTCCGAGCTTAGTTCTTAGTCTGTAAATGCATTTCCCTACTTGAAAGTGGTGTGGGAATGAGTTGAGAGCAGGGGAGGTGTGCAGGTGTCAAAGAGGTGGTGGGTATTTGCAGAAGCTCTCTTTTGATTTAATCTGAGGCAAGAGGTGTAAGCAAGTGTACTCAAGCAAATGAAGTATACGCTAATTTAGGCTTCCAAATGTTGCACTGCTCTCTAGCTGCCTGAAGAAGGGAATGCCTGTTTGGTTTTTGTGGGTTCCTCATTCCATTTATAAGGCTATACAATGGCAGACAACCTTAGGAAACAAAATGTGTGGGTGTAAGGCTTCCTTCTCCATATGGAAAGCCTTGGACTATTTTGCTCAGGAGCATGAAGGTACACAAACAGTACTGCAATTTGACACACTAATAGTGCACTCTGGTATCTGGCATATCAATATATTAACTTCAGAGAACACACACATATGGAGGGTAAAATAAGCAAATGATGCCCTGAAAGACATCTTTTTTCTTTTCTTTGCTGTTACTGACAGAAAATGAAGCCTGACAATGACCAGGAAGAAAATGAACTTGTAATCTTACATCTACGCCAACTCTGTGAAACTAAGCAGAAAACACACGTTCACATTGGTGAAGCACCATCGGTAAAGCTTATTTTTGTATTATTCCTCCTCTTCCTCCCACCTTATTCAAATGCAACCTTGAATAATAGCAGGGCCACTGCTATAGTTCATCAAGGGGTATCTGAAGCTGGCTATTGTAATTAAGAGAGGACTGTGAAAGAGAAATAATTTGACTTGATTTACTGTGGCATGCTTGGGTTTTATTTAAGTTCAGGGAGCAGGAAGGGAGGAAAGAAAGACCACTAAATGTTTTTAGGTCTAGGTTTCCTTACAGTGTGAGAATACCTCTTCAGTCCTTTTTCCTTTCTCCCTGATCCCCACTCCCAAACAGTCATTTCTAGGGGGAATAGGGATGAAGAGGGCCTTGGTTTCAGTTTAAACTGCAAACTTACCTAGCAAGGGAAATGGGTAACAATATTGTTAAATGTATATGCTTTTAGAAGATAGTCCTTAGGGATGAAATGTGCCTTTAACTGAGGGTTTGGTTTGGTTTTGTTTGGGTTTGGTTTTGTTTGTTGTTTTTTTTTGGGGGGTGTTATTTTTTAAATAAAGGCTGTGAGTAGTTATTTGTTATGTAACTTAATTCAGCTCTAGTCTTTGGAGGTCTGCAATTGCAAAAAGAATTGCCAAAGCTGAATTGTGTCCTTGTTCATTTCAACAGACAATTTCTAACAGTGCGATTCCAGAAAGCACCACCAGTGGTGGCAGGTTTAAACTTGACATTCTGAAAAACAAGGCCAAGAAATCCTTGACCAGCTCTCTGGAAAATATCTTCTCAAGGGTAAGATTAACAACTCATTGTCAGCAGCTCTCCCAGACATCCTTGACAGTAAAGACCTATCAGATTTTATATTTTTTTTTGGTTTTGGCCTCAGTCTGATAAATACTTAATGAAGTGATAACCCTGTTTTGAAATCTGAGAGTTATAGATGGATTGATTGTGGCTTAACTGCACGAGAAAGTTTATGGTAAGGCCACACATACAGAGGGGAGAAAAAGGCAACTTTTTCTGAATAATAAATGTTCACTGTAGATGGCAAGTGAGTTATGAGATGTATTGCTTCAGAATAAAAAAAATAATGAGGATGGTTGCATGATCCCATAAAGAGACATGTTAGCTTTATTTGAAAGTGTGACTAAGTGTGCCTCCATAAACTGGAAATCTTCCTGTTCTGAGAAGTAATGCCTTACCTCTCATAGCTAAAATTATTCATAGTAGTCACTAAGAATCTTTAGAAAGTAGTAACAAAGTTGTCCTTTTGCAGAAAAAAAAAAAAAAGAAAGAAATAGGTTTCAAAGAAAAAAAGTGAGTTGTTTTTCATTTCAGTGTTGCTAGCCAGGTATGATGTGGAATTGTAGATAATTACGGGAACTGTCATATTAAAAAGGAGTAACTGAAGAAGGCTGGATGCCTGGAATCCAGTATGTTGTTACAGAGAAGGTGTGATGAGCTGTGAGTACTGCATGGCAAGGTCTAAATATAGTTTCGAGCAGAGAAATTAAGTTCCTTCTGCTAGTAATTTTAAAAGTAACACGCTAAATCAAGGCTTAAGTTGCACTTGTCCTGCAGCTTATATGGGTATGTCATAAAATAACCTGCAAACATAGTATGCCACAGGTAGAATCGTAGAATCATCTAGGTTAGAAGGGACCTTTTAAGATCCTCAAGTCCAACCATCAACCTGACACTGCCAACTTGACTACCAAACCATGTCTCTAAGCCCCACGTCTACCGGTCTTTTAAATACCTCCAGGGATGATGATTCCACCACTTCCCAGGGCAGCCTGTTCCAATGCTTGACAACCCTTTCAGTGAAGAAATTTTTCCTAATATCCAATCTAAATGTACCCTGGCATAACTTGAGGCTGTTTCCTCTTTTCCTGTCACTTGTTACTTGGGAGAAGAGATTGACCCCCACCTTTCTACAACCTCCTTTCAGGTAGTTGTAGAGAGTGATAAGGTCTTCCCTCAGCCTCCTTTTCTCCAAACTAAACAACCCCAGTTCCCTCAGCCACTCCTCATAAGACTTGTTCTCCAGACCCCTCACCAGCTTCGTTGCCCTTCTCTGGACACACTCCAGCATCTCAGTGCCTTTGTTGTAGTGAGGTGCCCAAAACTGAACGCAATACTTGAGGTGGGGCCTCACCAGTGCTGAGTACAGGGTAACGATCACTTCTCTAGTCCTGCTCACCACACTGTTCCTGATACAGGCCAGGATGCTGTTGGCTTTCTTGGCCGCTTGGGCACACTGCCAGCTCATATTCAGCCAACTGTCCACCAACACCCCCAGGTCCTTTTCTGCCGGGCAGCTTTCCAGCCACTCTGCCCCAAGCCTGTAGCGCTGCATGGAGTAGTTGTGACCTAAGTGCAGGACCCGGCACTTGGCCTTGTTGAACCTCATACCACTGGCCTCAGCCCATCTATCCAACCTGTCCAGATCCCTCTGTAGAGCCATCCTACCCTCAAGCAGGTCTACACTCCTACCTAAATTGGTGTTGTCTACAAACTTACTGAGGGTGCACTCGACCCCCTTGTCCAGGTCGTTGATGAAGATATTAAACAGAACTAGCCTCAATAGTGAACCCTTGGGAACACCACTTGTGACCGGTCACCAACTGGATTTAACGCCATTCTAACCTCCAGTCAACTGGGACCTCCCCGGTTAGCCAGGACTGCTGATAAATGATGGAAAGTGGCTTGGTGAGCACTTCTGCCAGCTCTGTCAGTACCCTTGGGTGGATTGCATGCATCCCCAAAGAATTGTGTACATCTACGTGCTGTAGCAGGTCACTCACCATGTGATGTTCCCTATAAAGGGGGCAAAGTATTATTTTCCAGGGAGATCCTTAGAATTGTTGTACTTAAGGTTTGACGTGAATTTGACCTAGGACTGAAGCTAGCAGTAAAACTCTCCTGGTCAAATCTGGCCTATGTTGTGTAGCACATTTTACGCGCTAGGGACTTGTCTGAAGAGAGAGAGCACAAAAGAGAGTGACGACAGAAGATCTGGAGAATTTCAGTGGTCTGGTATATCATCAAATGGTGACAGCTACAGTCATGCTTGTGCTGAGTCTGATTTCTTTTCCACATCTAAAGCACATGTGACTGGAAAGTGATCTAGCTCTGACAGTGGGTCACTAACCTTGTGGTGGTTTGGAACAGACGTACATCAGTGGGAATAACACAGTAAAGCAGCCCTGCTATATACAGACATACTAGCACTCGGATCATGTCAAGCAAAAATCACGTAAATGAAATGCACTGCTTAAGTTGAAAAGTCTCTGAAGGGAAATTGCTTATATGTTGGGGTTTTATATATATATATATCTCTGTGTGTGTGTATGTGTTCCTTCTCACCAGGGCCACAGTGATGTGCTTCATGTTATAGTGTAAGGATCTACACAGTCCATAATTGAGTTCAAGAGAAGTGGAGACCTGAGTCTGGATTAGGGCCATTTTAAGTTTGCTATTTATGAAGCTGACTTGCTGTTGTAAAGAAGGTTGTCTTATCTTTAACTTGAAACTGCAAGAGGTGAGGAACAGCAGTATGTTGTAGTTAATCATGATACACATAGGGATCCTTGCAGATCCATTTAAAGGTTATACAATTCAAGACCAGGAAAAATAATTTACAGTGCAGCTCAACCACTAATCATTTGGTTAAAGCAGGTATATATGATGGGTGTCTCTGTGTGTGTATACTCTGTATTACTCACATACGTGTGTTATACAATGACTGTTCCAATAGTTGTTATTCTTCATCAGGCTATTACAACAAGCCTAATGGATCGTGGCTAGTTCCTAAAGGTATTTAGTCACCAGTACCTATTGGTGTGATGGGTTTTCCCCTCCTTAAGCCAGCTGCAAATCACATGGTATTGATGTAATGTGTTGCTAATTATTGCATGACTTACTATCTTTTTTTTTAAAGTATATTTAGTAACAAGGAGACTAGGAAAGATTTTTTTTTTTTTTTAATTGGTATTCAGCATCTTTTTGTAGATAAAAGGATTTAAGTAAAAATGTAAAAGTCAGTATATGTGGGGGAGAGACTTATGCAGCCTCAATCTTGGCAAAATTAGAAATAAGTAAGTAGTAACCAGATATCTAGGAACACTTTAAGTGGCTTCTTAGCTAGATAAATAGCATCTAGTGACATTTTAAGCTACTTGAAGGAATAGCTGCTCACTACTCACCATAGGGAAACATGCTGGGTTCTGTGCTCTGGCTTCCCTTAGTCCCAGAGGAATGTCACTTTTTCACTTGTTTGTTTTGTTCCACTGATGTTATTTTTGTCAGGTTTGAACTGAAAACAGGCTGTGGCTTCCTAATGAGGTACCTCAGAAAAATAAATATAACCTCTCTTTGACCTTATGAACAGATTTCTTCCAGCCCATGCTGCACTAACCTCTTCTGTTGTTTTTTTTTTCTGAACGAAAAAGCCCTTCTTACGGTGCCAAAAGCGTGTGTTTTTAAAGCTAGTGAGAAACTTCCAAGTTATCCTTTGCTTTTGTTTTATTGTGAGGGTCAGCGAAGAGATGCTTCAGGCAGAGTATTCATTGGTAATAAGCTTAAATGGGATAATGTACTTAAAGGGCACTCTAAGTCTTGAAAATAAACTTTACCACGGAAAAGTAGGCTAAATAAATACTGCTGATGTTGGTATAACTTCCCCTGTAGTTGCAAGCATACCTAGAAGAGCTCTGTCTATAGTTTTCCTAAAACCTGAACTATTTTTCCCCTGATAAAGTACTGAAAGCAACTTACTTCAGCCGTTTTAAGTGTCCAACAGAGGACATCACCCGTGTTTCATGGGAGTTAGTTAAGAGTGGAAGGTAGTCAAAAGTATTGTGGCACTGTCACCTCTTCCTGTGAAACAAGATGACCGTTAACAATTTCAGCAAGGATCTGCAAATTTCTAGCAAATTTGCCTCAGAATTGTAATTGAAAAAGCTTGTTTGTATCTGGTGCTATTTGGCTGAATTTTTATTCAGTGAGTGTTTTTTCCTGGTTTTAATGCCATCATTACTTTTGCCATGGTGGAATTAATTTGTCTGAAATGTCTAGATATGGAGTAAATTCTGTTTGGATCATAGTATGTCAAATCCATCCCTTAGCTGCAGTGCATGCACAGTACTGAATTCTGGAGCTTTTGCAACTTGACTGTTTAAGCCAACTCAGCTATTTTGCCTCAAATGGATCAAGAAATACTCAATTGATTCAGAAAACAGAGCTGCAGATTTAAAACTCCTGGGAGCAAGGGGGTAGCAGATACAGTCTTGCCAGCTAAAGACATCACTGCCTGTAAAATCCAATGCTTGCCCCCGATCTGTGGTCTTACGTCAAATGTGTCATGTGCCTGAACTGTCCTGTGTTCACCTGCACAGCTGTTGCCATCTTTGCTTAACCTTCAGCAAAAGAGGAGAAAGACCAGATTAAATTACTCGCCTCTTTTCTTGTAGGGAGCCAACAGAATGCGAGGCCGCCTGGGAAGCGTGGACAGCTTTGAGCGCTGCAACAGCCTTGCTTCTGACAAAGTACGTAAGAGGCTTAGTTAAAATTGGCATGTTTCGTGCACGGGTGTTAACGAAGCATAAATGTAGCACTCTGCTTCAATTTGGAGGAAGTAGCACAAAGCACATCAATTTACAAAGCTCAAATAAGAGTTTCCACCGGGAGGTGGAGGGTGTAAGAAAGCTCGCATATATGTTGACTTGAAGCTTCAGCTTTAATCTCTTGCCAGTTCATTTTTTCTACACTTCCCTTGCTTTTACAAAAAAGCAGGGAATTTCTGGTCAGGTTATGCCTTGTTTTGCTGAAGTAATTAAAAAAGGTCATACCTCAACAAAAGGAAATGCTCGGAAGGTGAGGAATCCTTTCTGTAAGTAATCGTTGCTTTAGGGAAGTAAGAATTTCTGACCTAAAACCAGCTGTTGAGGATGCTGTATGGGGACGAGCGGGTGGAACTCTGTTCACTTTCTTTTTATTTCCTGTTTTTAATGTTTTACCTCACGTGAGGATTGGTTGCTGGTTTTCCCAGGAGGTGAAGATTCTGTTATGGTTTTCCGGCTACAGTTACTCATAAACTGGCTGTGTAGTAACAGTCTCTCTTCCAGGATATCGCTATGACGGTACAGGAAGTATGCTCGCGATATGTCGAGGAAACTAGCTGAAAGCAGTTTCCCTAGTCTTTTCAATTCCTATTTTTTCCTGAAAGAGCCAGAAGTCCAGTAGCTGGAATGCTGATCCCTACGAGAGGATGCCTAGAGTAGTTAGTGTATTGTTTGCATTGTATATATATTTTTATTCCTCCCTCCTCTTTCTTCTTTTTTTTTTTTTTTTTCTTTTTTAAAGGAGGAGGCTGTTGGTTTGGAGTAAATTATCAAAGGATGTCTGGTTTTGGTGATAATTAGCATACAATAGGTCATGACCAAGAAGGGGGAGAGGCTTTGGTGCCCTGATGCGATGCGGTGCACAACCCGTGGGGTTAGGCGCGAGCTCTCGTAGGGCGCAGAGCGGCAGGCCTCACTCTGCCAGCACTTCCTTTCAGGACGCTTCGCCGGGCGATTCCCCGCCAGCTACTCCTCCGGCGTCCCCCGTGTCCTCGGCCTGGCAGCCATTTCCCGAGGAAGATTTGGACTCCCCCCAGTTCAGGAGGCGCGCACACACCTTCAGCCACCCCCCCTCCAGCACCAGGAGGAGGATAACCTTCCAGAACGGGAGGTCCCAGAGCGTCCGGTCCCCGCTGCTGCGGCAGAGCTGTGTGGAGACGACAAGGTGAGTCAGGGCATGCTATACCACGCGCCTGCTGTCTGCTGAGATTTCGGTACATGAGCCTCACCCGTATTCTTATGGAAGCTGTTTCTGCACTGGTCTGAGTTTTGTATATTTATTTTCAGCCTGTCTTCTGTGCTTCTCAATAGTTTAGTGCTTTGCAGTAACTCACTAATCCCTGAATTAGTGATTCAGGGGAAGCATCAATCCAGCAAATTGATCATCAGGCTGGATGCCAGTGCCAATCTGTTTATTTATTTATTTGTCACCTCTGAGCTGAGCCTTTTTTGGCAGTGTCCGTATTCAGGCCCTTTGGAGAAGAGGTCCTCGCTGCTTTTAACTGCAGAGATGATAGTCTGATGGTTTTAGGCCAGGATGAAAAAGGCGCTGACAACTTCAAGTGTCAGTCGCTGTGTTAGCCAAGCTCCCAGAGCGTATGTCCAGCATTAAAACTGGTGAGGAGTCTCACAAAAGGACATAAGGGTTAAACATACCTCCACTGAACTGTGAGGCATGCTATTTCCCTGTTTACCTTTCTCCGGAGCTTCCCTCTGTAACTTCTTTCCCCTTCCTTTTTGGAGACTCTCCAGCTATTATCGTGTGGAACGCTGTTCCTTCAGGATTTCTTCACTCAGTCAGAAGAGGTCCCCACAGTTCATTGTGGGCCTCTTCGGTTGCACTTTCTTTCTCTGCCTCCATCCTCGCTATCTGCAGTAACTGACCGTGCAAACTCCAAAATCTTTACAAGATTCAGGCCCAGATGAACTGATTTTTTTTTCTGTTGGAGGAGCACTTTCTCCAAACTACTAGTCTGTTTCAATGCTTAGCTGCAATTATGCTTTTTGTGGGCTCTTTCTAAAAATGGCTTTAAATAGTAATTTCTTACCCATTTGATGTCTAGATTAAAATATAAGTGTGAATGCCACACCAGCTTGTAGAGAAAGGCAAAAAAGTTTATTCTGTTTAAGAGAGCGGAAGGGGGTGAAGGGTAAGAAACTAGCCTTGAAATAGCCTTGTTACACTGTGTTTCTGAAGAGATAAATAATGTGTTTTTTACTGAGATAAACTTTCCTTATTTTTTTTCCACTGACCATGTTGTATGCAAACAGGAAACCCTGACAGTTCAAACTGAAGGACTTGCTGACTTCACTTCTTTGTGATAACTTTTAAGAAGTCGCTGATTAAGTGGCATCATCAGCAGATTTTCAGTCAAAACAGTTTGTAACAACTGGGTTGTAGGATGGGATTTTTCCTTCTCTCCTTTCCTAGTAAGGATTAATCAAAAATTTTAAGTAAAAGAAACTGAATTTTTATGTCTCTCCAACACTTGTTAATATTGTAACAATGTTTAACTATGTAGTAGGACTATCTTTCTTGATTTAAACACTTCACAAAATTTTATCCAAGGCTACTACATTTAAATAATCTGTACTTTCTAATGTGTTCTAGCAATACATGTTATTTACAAGAGCAAGAGAAAACTGAAGGAAGCAACAAGGTGGTTCACTTTATCGGAAGCAAGCTTCTAAGGATGTTTTCTGAATGTTTCAGAGATATTTTTTCTGAATTTGCTTTGAGAATAAATAAGGCTAAAGAAATAAGGTGGTCTGCCTGTACTGCAATGTCATTGACTTGTTTCTGGAAAGAAATCAGTTGTAACAGCTGATCAATATCATCAGGGAAACTGCCCAGTAGTGCACTTGGTACATTTTATCTTCTGGGAAACAAAGTTACTGTAAGCCAAGATGAGGTACTTGGGCAGTATCTTTAATCTGGATGTTTTGTTGTTGTATCCGAATCCATGCTGACCCATCTGCTATGTTCTTTTGTTGCCTGCACAGCCCTGTTGTAGGGGTTCGGCATGCTCTCAGTGAGAGTGAATCGGCATCACCCGGCCTCCCCTCCTCTGTCTCTGCCCCCTCTTTCCTGAAAAGCTTTTACCAGGGCTCAGGAAGGTTCCTCCAGCACTCAGAAAGTGACCTCTCCAAGAGGTGAGAGCGTTGTCTCCTGTATAGTTCTTCAGTGCCAACAGCTTAACAGCAGGATTCCCAGTGCAATGCAGCACGTGGGGTTTTCCCACTCTGCCTTGTGCTCCTGCATTTCTAACAGACTTCCCAAGTACTTGATGATGCAAATAAGCAAACAGGCTTTTGGCCAAAAAAGCCTGTTAAAATTACGGGCTTGTCTGCTGACATCTAGTAGCTGTGACCCATTTCTGTTGCAGTGCTGCACATCTGCTGCATTGGTTTGTCACTTGAAATGCAATGTTTCTTAGCAGCATCACGCCAATTTAATGCTTTCTCTGCTGAATGCAAAGCAGCATGTGTTGCTGTGGTCATAGGCATGTGAAAATAAGAAAAGAGCAATGTGAAGAGTGTACAGTACTAACATGGGATGCCTGTGCATGAGGAAGGGGGAGCACCAAATTAGCTGGACAGTACTAGCTGTGAGATGTTTAGAGAGAATCAGCAAATAACCTCCAGATGAAGAGGAGTGGGGAAGAAGCGAAGATACAAGAAGGGCTTTCTTACATCGGTGTGAAAGACTGTATGGAAGTCACACTACTTTTTACTGTAAGAATAGGCTCTTCTTCAGGAGGGCGCTTGAGGAAACTGCGTGTGGGCTACTTTTCTGAAGTACTCCTGTAGTGAATAAAGTGGAACCATAGTTTTGAACTTCATGATGGCTTTTTTTTGCCAGTTGCTGGCCTTTTTTATTTTTCTTCTATAAATGACAACTCCTTTTTCCTTCATCAGTCTCTCCTTGTTCACTGAACTACGTTTGTGTTTCTGGTACTCCTCATCTCTGAGTGTGACTCTACCCTACTCATTCCCAACAGAAACCTGTGGAGTTGTACAACGTGCTTTTGTGACTGTTTCTCTCTGGAAGAATAACAGTAGATTGCATTCTTACCAAAAATAAGTGTTGATGAGATCTGTATACTGGGTGTGTTAGGACTCTTAATACATGGGGATTTCAGTTGTATGAGATGGCTGTGGAAGTTTTTAGGGGTGTCTCAAGATATTTTTTTCATCTTGTGGAGTGCAGTTTCATTAAACACAGATTAGTTTCTCATCTCCATTTAAGGGTAGACTGTAAGTAATTATGTAAATATGCAAGCTAATGTGAGAGGCAGTTGACCTAAACGTGGCTTTAAGGTACAGTTTGGGTTAGTCCTCTGTAATAATATATAGGTTAGAATAAATACAAAGGTACATATCATCTCCTTAAACACACTGTATCCTACCTTGATTTCAGTGACGTTTAAAGTGTCTCCTTCTGACCTCTAATCTGTAACTGGTGTACAGCATGCCGCAAATAACTGTAATGTAGACACAATTACAAAACACCTAGTGGGAAATTTCTACAGTTTCGGTCCTTCCAGCACAGTAAACTTGTGTATAAGTGGAATAAGGTGAGACATCCTTACAAGAAGGTGACTGCATAGCCTTGGGGGCAGAACCCCTGCTGGCCTGTTCCCTGCACCCCCCCGCCTAAAATCCTGCAGCTTTTAAGTAGATGGTAATTTTTCTAGATTCACTTGCTAGTAGAGGGGTGATGTAAACTAACCCCTCCTTAATTTTCAGAGGTCTTTCCAAAACCAGTCTTAGAAATATTTCACAGTTTTGAAGAGGGAGTCACTTTAAGGTGACCTTACCTTTTTACCCACGCACAGATGAATAAGGAATAAGTAGTGTATGCTTTTGAAGTATGAGACTAGAGATTGATATCTTGTCCAGTGTAGAAGTAGTCTTTTAATACCACCTGTTCTAAACCTTGTGTCCGGTAATAGTTACTACATAAGTGAATTGGATGCCTAGATTTTTCCATCCCCTGCTACACTGCAGTAACACTAGAATAAGTAGCAATTGAATTATTAAAGTTGAAATTAAAGAAACAGATGAGTGCACATCAGGGTGTGCAGAGAAATGGCAAAAAAAATAACCTGTCTCTTACAGACTATCTCTTATGTGAGTTCCAGTCCAACTTCGTTTCTGTGCTCCCTTTAGTTAGCAGACTTGGTCCAAGCTGAAGCAATGCCCAGGTCAGTTTGTACAGGCAGCTGGATCCCATTGAACCTAGCTTTCTGGATTTGGAGAATGTAGGTGTTGAGTATTGTACTAAAACCATACTTTAATGCTATCTAATTCCAAGCTGAAATTTCTGAGATACTACTCTTTCTGGAATTGGTTATGCATGTCAGTCAAGAAGTATCTTTCATTATAATTGAGTTTTGAACTGTAACGCGAGGAGATCTTCAAATTAGGAGTAATCCCCAGAAGACCACTGTGTTTCTACTTAGGTTTTGTCGTGTACAGATTTCTGATGCCATTTAATCTTGAATTTGTTCAAAAACTCGTGTGAAAATGGGATCCCATCAACTATAGATCTTGCTGGGACCAACTGGGCCTTAGCTGTCAAGGTAAAGAAATTGCAGTAGCAAGGGTGAAGTGTTGGCATCTAGTTGGGTTCATGAAGCAAATAGAACAAATATAGTCAGAAAGAAGTGCCGAATGAATAATGATTAGAGTGACTGAGGTAATCCACCTGTCACTTGAACTGGCTAATGGAGAATGAAATATATTGTCCAGTTGATGGCAGCTGAAACTCTTTAAACTTACCCCGATTTAGTTTGCAAATATGTGTTATGCCATCAGGTTTATGAATGAGAGGAAGTTGAAATTTTTTACAATGTGGTTTTTCATAGAATTATGGAATGGTTAGAGTTGGAAGGGACCTTAAAGATCATCTAATTCCAGCCCCCCTGCTGTGGGCAGGGATACCTTCCACTAAACTAGATTGCTTTTTCTTGTGTGTTGGTTTTTGTAGGGCTTGGTTTGTTTGTTTGTTTGTTTTTCTTTGACTATTTTTCACAGAGAGGACCTTCTTCTGTCCCAGTAGGCCCAATGTGAGGTGTTCTTAGTGTTCTCATGTGAGTGTATGCTAGGTTGGAATTGAGCGTAGTGTGGCAGTCCTTTATAATCTGGAGACTATAAGCTATTTAACCGTTAGGAACCCTAATTAAAACTTCAGTGCATTTTCGTCTCTAAGAATCATCATGGTTACTACACGTTCGTGAAGTGAATCCTAGACACATTGCACTGGAGAAGAATCCTGTATGGTCTGACTTCCCGTATCATGTAGCTTTGGGATTACGTGATACAGCAGCCAGCTTTTCATTCAAGACAATGTGATTGTCTTTAATATTCTGACATTTACAGAACTTACCCTGCCTATTTTTCTGCCATCCTTCCTGAACACTAATACAGCCAGTTGTGCCTGTCATGGGGAACAGCTTCATTTAGGAAGCATGAATCATGCCCTAAAAATGTCTTGACCTTCATTTAAAAGGAAGCCTGAGTTGACTTGCTAGGATTTAGATGGCTGTGTTGGAGATAACTAAAGCTAGGAGAAAAAGAAATATTCTACAGATAAGTTCACTGTGGTGAAAGTCATGTCTTTTTTCCTAATGTTTGCGGACTGAGCTTTTTTGGGTTTAATTCTAATGATCACTACTGTGATGCTTTCTGTGGAAGCGAGAAAACACCAATATGTTTTCTGCTTTAAGGAGTGAACAGTATAGTAAAGTTAGGCATCAACACAATGTTAGTAGATGCCTTCAGAATGTTTTTACTGCATTGTCAATTAATTTCTCTAGAGAGAAGTCTACAGTGGATATGGTCTGCATAATCTTGAATTTTGACAAGTGTGTTGTGCAGCATTTAATATTGAACACAAGCACACATAAGGATTAAAAAGATCCTGCCAATGTAAAGATAAACAAACAGGAATTTGAAAGCGTAACCTGTTTTGTAAACTTTCATTTCTGTAACTTCTGGAATTTCTGGCTTTTATTCAACAGCTACTCCTGAAAGCTAGGCTATTGGAAGAATCTGGTTTTTTAATATAAAAATAAAAGCAGCACTTTTAAAAATGGGTCAACCTTCAGGATAGGTTTGACTAACCCACACTGTCTCTGTTCATTGCATTGTTATGCAAGAATAATTTAAGCTGTTTTATCACCACTTGAATTAGAACAGATTGCTTTTTTTTAAAACAGCTTCATTTCCCATGAAGAAAGTAAAATACTTGAGAATGTTCTTTAAACAAAATGGCAGAAAGTAATTATTCAGAATAAAAATATATGACAGGAGTGAGAACCAATAGAGAGGTGTAAACTGGTTGGAACTAGATTTTCTTCCTCCCAGAGGGGAAGAATGCTTCATGTATTAGACTTGATATATCAGCTTCTGCCAGCTTAAGTCCTGGGAGTTGATATATTAGCTGTCTTTCTGTGTTCAGTCTGGGGGATTTTGTACCATCTCATCCTCCAAATTGCAAAGTTGGTCAAGTTGATTCAATTGCTACTTAGAGCAATCAAGAGAAGTTGAAATGAAAGCGAACTGGGGAAAAAACGCAAACCTTGGCACAATTGGCAACAGTATTCACTCTTGAGTCAGTTGGCTTGCGTGGATTCAAGTGTAAAATAACTCAGATGAGTATTGTGTAAAGAGTTCACAAGAAATGGAGCAGCTTTGTGGGGTTTTGAGTATCAGGCTTTGGGAGCATTTTAAAGAACAGTTTTGTGTCACTGTATAAACCAATCAATACTCATCCTTTGCCTTGCCCCGATGTCTGGGCTCTATAATCCATAGTTTATAGAGAAGTTGTAAATTTCTTGACTTTGAGGTAGCAACTTTTTCTTAAAGTGGAAAACATCATTAAAAACTGGAATTAATGATTGGACTATTTCTGCTAGTTGACCTTACAATTTGTTTGCCATGTAGGTGTTTAAGCCTGTGTGTTGTCAGAACAGGGTCTTTTCTTAAGAATCCTTAAGAATTTTTCCCGTGGGTGTTTGACGTTTGGTATCAGTGCCCTGACAGGAAACTTGTGGAATCTCTGTTTCCCCAGATTGGGAGGTAGTGAAAACTCCGTGCTGCTTTTCAGTAGCAATAACTGAACTCCATTTAAGAAGTTGTTATTGTTTTGGAGTTGCTTTTTCTCTAGGTCTCTCCGCTCACATTAATAAGCCTCTTCATTTTGCAGGGAGCTGATAGCTAGTGGTCAGATATACTTTTTTCTGTACCCCCACCCCATCTAGAGGAACTGTATGAGGTGTTGATCGCCTTTCTGAGCAAAGCACCTACCTGCCTGGCTGTTAAAATCCACAACTACCTTAAAACCTGAAGTAATCTTGCAAATGTGACCAAGAGTGAAGCCAGCCAGTTAAGTGTAGATATGAAAGACGTTAAAGTCCAGGGAATAAGTACTGTGCAACTCCTGTTTCAAGGTTAACTAATCTGTTTTTTGCACCAATCTTCTGAACCATTTCATCACAAGATAGGCAACATTACCATTTTACTCTGACTTCTTTCTGCTTTTACTCTGTAGGGTATTGTTTCAGACCTTCAGATCTGATGTTAAGCTAGGACTCGTCTGTCTGTCTTGAAATGAGGAAACTTTCTTTGCTACCTTCCTGGCCTCCCTTTCCTGAATCTTGGTGTTTTCATTGAATACGGCAAGGTGTGCACATGAGACTTCCAAAAGTTTTCCTCCAATCACTCATCAGACAGCTCGTTAAAAGAGGAGGTGATTATTGTTAGTTGCTTAAAATGCCAGGGGAATTTTGGAAGGGAGGGTTTAACAACAGAAATGCAGGTCCTTAGAACTGTATGATTTGCACACTTCATGAGGTAGCACATGTGACTAATCCATCACACTGTAAACTCTGCGACTCAAATGATGTAAACAGCTTTGTTTCATACCCTAAAATAGCCATCTTCTTATTCTGACTTCCCTGTAAGTTTTACTACTGCAAATTGAACATTATTCATAGGACTGTCTGCATGTTTAGAGGCACAGTAGCTGAATGTAGATATTTGTACATAGCAGTAGAAAGGAAGTTTTCATTCCTTTGTTATGTAGCTTCTATTTAGTAAACCCTAGAATGAATCAAGTTTTTGTGTTCCAGCATGTGATATGTAAGACTTGAAGTAGCGAGAAGTAGTTTCATTACAGTTATTTATAGAAACACAAGTTGTACTGAGTTTGGTTACATTAATCATTTTCTTATTTCCAAGAGTTGTTGGACTGAAATACCTTTGGAAAACAGCACCTCTAGATTCCAATTAATTTTGTAGTCTGTGTTTAGCTAGCACAAGTGGTGGTTACCCTGTCACCAAAGATTGTGTAAGAGTTAGCCAAAGAAGATTGTCACAGGGTTTTCTGTTGCTGTTTTGGTTAGTGCAGCATGGGGCTCTACTGAGACCATCTACTAATAGTATGATGCGTAGGAAACTATAGGGAACACTCTAGAAACTAAATCGGGACTAGAGAATAATTCAGACTATCTGTTATCCAGGGCTTGTAGCCCATAGCACTGTTCTTAGAGGAGAGCAAGGGTGGTGCCTAAGGCTGGGTAGATGAACTTAAAGACATGATTATTTCTCTGCCAGGATATGTAAGCAGGGTCTGATACCGGTGTATGACAGCGAGTCCAGTTTGCTCACTGAGGCTCACAGGGAGCTGTTGTAGATCGTTAGTAAAGGGACAGCTTTGGTCACCAAAAAGGCCAATTCTAGCTTGGTGGATTATCATTCAGCAGTGATTATCATTATCATCAGTACTTGATACGGAAAGTGCTGACAGAGATGGTGTAGCTGATATGATGGTGTCATTGAAACTTCATGGTCTGGCTCTCGTGCAACATGTGGGGAGACAAACTGCAGCTGGCAAACTGTGATCATCTGGAACTGACTTACCACTAAAAAACACAGTGAACAGTTAATGTGCTGGGCTTTCCTTTCATCTAACTCTTTTTAGGGACTTTGCACTGTAGCATGGAAGTTCTTCACGGGATGAAGGTTTGCGAGTTTGCTGCTGTGTTGATGTAGTAGTTTTCCCTGTGATGAAGATGAAGCTGCAGACACAACTCCCTGTATTTGGTACTGTCTTCCCAAGAAGCCTGTAGTTGTGTTTCACTGTTGATGTTGCATGGAAGGATTTTTCACAGATAATCAGCGTACCCACTTCTGTATGAGATCTGTGCACCTACTTTATGACTACAAAATCAAAATGCTGAAATATTTCTGAAAATGGCTCAAGTACTTATGAAAGCTAAATGTCCTTTCCTGTAGCAGTAGTCAGTAGAGAGGTGTGCTTGTTGCCCTCTTAGAATGACCTCCCAGCAAAGCTTCCCTGTATTCTCTCCTTGTCTCTTCCAGCAACATAAGCTGCTATTAAAATTACTGTGTAAATATATTTCTACATGGCAACTGGGGAGGAGGTCATCTCCTTTCAGGTCATTGCGGTAGGAACTGAGCCTGCCTTTTGTTTGCAAAGGCTCTGTTCCTTCAGCTGGAGATGCTGATGAAATTTGAGGATGTTTGGCCCCATTTGTACAAAGTGAAGTCTCCACTTCTTGAAGCATAGGAAAGAAGCTGAATGAGAAGGCCAGAACATTGCCTCCAATTAAATATTCACCTGTGAGCTCATCATGCCATTTAAAATGGGACTAAATGGAGCGTTGTGCTCTGTTAAAGCAACATCTGTACTTTTAAGGGTATTACATCAGATTGCCCCTGTAAGGCTAATGTATGGCAAAACAAAACCCATTGCTGTCTTAGAGGCTAAATATTACCTTATATTTCTCATAGTTTTTCAGAAAGTTTAGCGTTTATTCTGAGCTTCCAGCTGAGCACTGTATGAATGCTATGAATTCTTCCTGGTGGTATATAGTGCAAACTTCACAGCACTATGTTACAAGAAAACAATTGGGCACTTCTGTATTCAGGGTGAAAGTCGAGCACAGCACGCTTTGCCTTCTGAGGCTTCCCAGCAAGTGCTTCTGCAGGTTCGGTTGTACATTAGACAGACTTAATAAAGATTTTTTTATTTTTTTTTTTTTTCCCATCCATCCAAAGATGACTGACTTTGATCACCCCATCTGCTTTTTCTTTCCTTCAGTGATGGGGAGGGGAAGAAAAGAACATCAACCGTCTGCAGCAGTGAATCTCTAAATGCTGCGGGGGCCACACTCACACCTCGCCGCATCTCCTGGCGGCGGAGAATATTCCTGCAGGTAGCTTCACCTATGAATAAATCTCCTTCCAAGATGCAGCATCCAGGTCTGTGTGTGCTTTTAAAGAAAATAAACAAGCACTTGTTACTGAATAATAATTGCTATAGTGAACTGTAACATGTGAAAATACAAAAGGGAGAAGGGAGTCCGCTTGGTACAATGTTCTTGCTAGAACCTCACTAGAGATCAGTTGTGCACAGTTGGCTTTAGGTCTTTGTTGCTTTGAACAGAGGATTGTGTCATCAAAATCAAATTAATTGCAATCTGCCATAGCTGCACTGGTAGCAAGGAAATGAAGAACTGCCTCTTGCTGGCAAAGATACCCTCTTTAACAGTTAGCAAATTTTTGCCCTAGCCTGCTTACGTAATAGCAGGGTTTGCAGAAAATGGTAACTTTTCTGCCTTGTTGTTGTACTGCGCATAGCACCTGTTGAATGGGTTAATAATTCTTATAGCTTTAGGTCATTTAAGGTAGAAACCTCTGAAATATCTGAAATCCTGCTATGTTGATAAAGTCCTATTGGTGGAACTACACAACCATAGGTAAATGACAAATTATATCTAGTGACCATAAAGTGCTATAGCACTGCCTATAGTGCAGCTTAGCAGATAGAAAAAAGTTGGTTTTAGTATAGAGCCTGCAGTAAATCACAGCAGTAAACAAGCTCAGATGTAAAGGAGACTTTATGGATAAATGCCTCTAGAAGGAGCTAGCAGGGGAAAGGGTTGAAATACTGGGTGACTCTTTATTTAGCTTTATTTACTTTAAATATAACATTATTTAGTTTAAATAAAACACTTTATTTAAAAATAGTTCTCTACTGTTGAACTGCATTTTTTTCTGTCTTTGGAATCAGCACCTCACTGCTGAATATGGAAGACAACTACTTTTGTTCTGCTGTAACTTAGATTTTCATGATATGTCTAACAATCTGAGTTTCCTTTAATAGCTTTCTGATTCTTTGCAGATGGTCATGATGGAAGTGAATTGTTACCGTTATCCCCTCTTGCTCCACCCTTGGAGGAGGACCCTCTTGTTCTAGTATTGCAAAATGAGGATGGTCCAGATAAAACTGGAGAGAGGAAGAACTCAGAAGAACTACAAAGTCTGTGGAGAAAAGCCATCCATCAACAAATCCTGTTACTTCGAATGGAAAAAGAAAACCAGAAACTGGAAGGTTAGCTATTTAGAAAATACCCCTAAAAATATTACAAATTCTGCTGCCTGAAGCTGAAAACTCTACTAGTGTTGGGCATCTGAAACGGTGGTGTGGTTCTGTAACTTTCTGGTTATCAGTACTAGAAAGAAATGTGCTCTCCCAGTCCTAGCTCGCAGTCTACGAGGTTCTCTGTCTACCTACCAGCTCTTAATGAGTCACCTTAGTTAAAGAAGATGATGATAACTTTTCCTTTTTTAGTGCTTGTTAGACAAAGGTTACTACAGCCTGTCTTCTAGCTGTCTAAGTCTAGGATTTCTAACGTGAAGTGTAGTCAGGAGAACAGATGCTGTGTGAACACTTAGGTATGGTAAACCTTACCCTCTATATCTCGTTTCAGTCCTTTGCAGCGCATGGCATTTCTCTCCAGGCTTTCTGTCCTTCATGAACCACATCACAGTGGTAATTTATAAATATTTGAATCCAAATATGATTTTTGAGCAACTGGCTCTTGAGGTATGTCAAAGAGTTCATTTTTCTGAAGATGAACACTGTACACAGAAAATTGAGTGCTGTTACCTTGGGATCTGAAGTTGGCCATGCTGACTTCGCAGCTGCCTAAGCTTCTGGCTAAGACTTTTTTTTTTTTTTAATGACTGGTCAAGACTAGCACAAAGAAAAGATAGGATGCAATGTCAAGACTAGCACAAAGAAAAGATAGGATGCAATGTCTATACTAGCATCTGGAAATTCTTCAGTATAATAGACCAATAGCTTTTGGTGCAAGTTGAAAATTTCAAATGTACTCTCTGCAATTGCTGCCTTCATCTTTTCTTGTATGGTGTATAACCTCATTATATATAGCAGTATATATAGCAGTCTGATTCTTCAAACAAAACAGTGATCTTGTTAAGGTCAGTTAACTCTTTTTCCTTCTTTTGCGGTCCTTACTGAGAAGGCCGGGGGAGGAAAGAAAAACAGCAGGGCAGAAGTCTTTCCATGTCCCTACAAGTGTACATCCTTGTGTTTATTTCCTATGCATGTAGTGTATTTCTCTGTGCACTCTCTCCACAGTTTGTCTCCCTGTTGACACACACTTCTGTGGAAACTTCTAGATTCATAGGGAATATCTACAGAGAAGTCTGTTTTAACTTTAGCCGAAATCTTCATTTGTTTTTTTAAGCAAATGGTCAGTCTACTGTTGTGGGGTGGGGAGGCTGGACATCCGCTGTAGTGACTAATTTCATGTTATTCCCTCTGGTAGTATGAGCTGCTGAGGGACAAACTCTTTTCTCTACCCTCCCTGTGTGGCTGGAGGTAGTGAAAACTTAAATCAGTCCAGTTCCTTAAGACTCAGTTGTAGGTTATTTCCATTCTGTAACTGATACATAGAAAATAAGTTCTGCCTATCTCATCATTTGTGGTGAAAACAGGAGTGTCAGCAGTGGCGACTCCAAACTGGCACCTGTCTGCCAGCCCACATCTTGGTTTGTGCTCCAAGGAGCATGTCTCCATTCTTGTATGAATGTTTGTAAGTGCTGCTAGTGAAATTGGTGCTCTGGCTAGCTAGAATTCATCATCTTATTTTCAAAGGGTGAAAAGTAAACTGTCATAATGGCTGCCTCTAGGCTTCCTTCCTATGGGCTGCTGTAACATGGGCCATTTTGTGGACAGGACATATGCAGAACTGATACATTCCAAACCAACACTGGTTTGGGCAGTGGTTGGGATCCTAGCTTGCAATTAAATATATATCTTAGGAACAGGAAATGTAATAACAGAAGTGCAGCCATTTCTCTACTTGAAGCTATTTATCCTAGCCTATTTATTCAGCTCTATATGACTAATTGAAGACTGAAATTGTTGTGGAATTGTTTTAGTGGTTTTCTGTCAATGTTTTGTTGATTTTTTTATTTATTTACAAAATATTAATAGAACCTCTTTTCCTGTTCATTTTGCTGTCGAGGAGACTTGAATACTATTAGCTCTTTGTTTTATAGAAGGTAAGTTCTGTGAACTGCACAAACTTGCTTATGTATTTTTTTTTTTTTCAGAGCAGCTAAAAGCTAATTTTTCCAGTAGATGACCTAGAAATAAAAGAACTACAAAAAGTAGTAGGCCACCTAGCAATGATTAGGAAGAATGTTAACAAGGATGGTTGCAAGCAACCAAGATTGGCATAGTAGGTAAGGCAGGTACGATCAACAGGCAAGCTTGCTGACTTTCGCTGCAGAGCCAAAGTACTGTTCAGTGAATGATAAACCATCCACTTAATTCTGGAGTTCATTGTCACACTGAAATATGTTACTGTTGTCTCGAATCTGTTGTGTACTGCTTATGAGACTGAGCGTTCTCAAATCATACAGCAATAGGATAACATTTAAAATTGCCCCGATTGGACTGCAAATTCCTGTGGTGAGATCACGTTCCTGTTTTTGTGGAAGTGTACTGCACTTTGTATAATAGTTGCTTCTTACAAGACCCCCTGTAGTCTTGAATAGGTATGGTCTCAGAGGTGTCACATGCAGCTTCTGGAAATAATTTGTCACCTACATGTTTGGAGTGGGCTAGGCAAGGATCTTATGGCTTCATCCAATATTGGCTCTGTCCAAAGTGCGCTGATCAGGTGAAGGAACTGATTGTCTTGTTTTGCAGCTTGTATAATAACATGAGTGAGACTTTGCTTTCACCTAGAAATGGCGGTGGCTAGAGGGATACGGGGGATACATCTGTAACAGGAAGGCATCTCCTGCAAGGAGCAAGTACTGCATACAGATCAAGGCAAATTTGGGATAAACTCAATTGCAGTTTTCAGAGGTCATGTTGTGAAATGTACAGTCCAGTCCAATGATAATTAAACCTATCTCTGTAAATTAAGCAACATTCAGGTCTTGATTCCAGTTTTATACAGCAGTAGTATGAGCAATTGGGGTGTCTATCTGCATGCATATCATGTATAGTAAAATAACCGCACTTAATTTCTCAGTAATGGAAATGAAAGTTGAGGAACTCTGCAGCTTTATTTCAGAAATAGCGAGTTCTCTGGAATAAATATTTTGTGCCAGGCAGTCCTATGCAGCAAACGTTTTAAGTATACAGCAATATGACTTCTGTGCTTCAGCACAGATGTAACTTTCTGGATAGGGTTCATGTTGGTTCATTCTATTTACTTCTAGTCAGCCTGATGATGCCAGGTTGCAGTGCCAAGAGCTCTTATCACTCTCTTAAGGGACATGTAAAAACTGGAACCAGTGTGACAGACTTCAGTTTAGAAGACTTGCCTAGCTTGCTTGTCTAAATCTCTAATATAAATATTCATATGTTTGGGACTTTCCATACTAGAACAATTGTAATGTTCAATATAAGCAAGAGAAAAATGATCAAAGGTGGTTTTGCAGTTGAAGGAAGCAGCAGATGTGGTGAATCTGACAGTGTTGAGTGGATTTTTTTTCTTGCCCCAAACTTTAAAAAATGTTTTCATGTATTTCATGAATTACTAATGTTTGTGGCCCAGTAATAGAAGTTAAATTGTTACCTGCAGCACCTTATGACAAAAGACTGTCCCCATCTCAGCTATTAACTGATGAATTGTAGAAGGTGTACTTATCCCTAGTCATATTATCAGATAGATAATATTGAACTTGAATGGGTTTCGTGTATTTGATGTCTCTTGTAATTTTCTGATGTTCTGTTTTTTTGTGTGCTCTTTCTTTGTGTTCTGTGCTCTAGCAAGCAGAGATGAGCTCCAATCAAGAAAAGTAAAACTGGACTATGATGAAGTTGGTACATGTCAGAAAGATGTCATAAATGTTTGGGATAAGAAGTTACTAAACTGCAGAGCCAAAATCCGATGTGACATGGAAGACATTCATTCCACTTTGAAAGAAGGTAATTATGTAGGATGGCTTTTAACTATGAAGTCTGAAGATTATTTTTTTTTCTGTTGTTCCTTTTTGATACCAAAGGAAATCTTCCAGTAGCACAAAATAATGAAAAAATTGTCGTCTTTTTGCAAATGCGTTCACCTCCTGCTGCCAAACAGAAAATAGGTTCTGCTGTGTCTGCAGCTTACATTGTCAGCAATGCAGAAACATGTATAGTCATGCTCTTGAAAGCAGCATCTTGTGCCCATGTATTATTACATCGAAGATTGAACTTGGGAGCTTCTGCTGCTAGCACTGTGATCTTCTGGTTTCTGGTCTGTGGCTCCTGTACAATTGACTCTGAGTTTTGGATGTTCTGATTTTACTTACTGAGCAGGCAGCACCATAATGTCTAATGTGGACCGTGCCCAAAACCTGGGGGAATCGCAGCCAAGCTTCAGAGAGTCAGAAGGAGCACATCTTGTAGAGTTTGTAGTGTTTTTAGTATTTTGCTTCCTCAAGTGAAAGTCTGGGGGTTTTGGTGTGAAGTAGATCTTCCCGTGGCCTAGCCGTAGGCCAGAAGGGGGGAGCCTGAGGGCCTTGTTAGTATAATACGGATGTAGATTCTGATTGTACCACTGTGCCCTCCTCCCTAGAGTCTCATGTCTGTATTACAGATGCTGAAAAATAATATTTCAGTGTAAGCTGGCAGTCATACAGAATGGAAGTTTAAATTGCTTCCAAAGAAAATTGTGGTAGAAGTAAGGCCGTTCCTATTAGTGACCTGAAGAAGACTGCCAACAAACATCTTTCCTTGCTGCCCTATCTTCTGCTGCTGGACTGCAGTTTAGAGTTGGAAAACAAGGATATGATTCTTCTAATTTGTATTCTTGCTAAATAGTTACTTGCCTGGAAAGTATTAGCAAAGTTGACAATTTATTTTTAATTTCAAGGGTCAGTTTACAGAGTCAGGGGGACATATGTGAAAGTCCGTAAGTAGTATTTTTATCTGGTTTATGCTTTCACAGGTGCTTGGCTGACTTGAGTGAAATGCCATCTTTCATTATGAGTGGTTCTTTGTCCTTCCCTTGGTATGCAGCATAAATGCTTTTAGGTTTGAACTGAGCATTTTGTAATCTGTACATCTTCCCCCAAGCCTATGGACTGATATGAGCAGCCCTTTGGGAAGGGGAGGTAGACCGCCCTTTATTTTACACCTCTGAATTTAGTTCACCATGTCTAAATAGGCAGGTCTGCATTCTGCGTGTAGTCTTGCATCTTTTACTGTTGGAGGCTAACAGCTCAGAGGTGGCAAAACAAGCGTTAGTTGTACCTTAGTTTCCCAACGCACTGCTCAATTACCATAAGTTTGTAGTTAATGTTTAGTTAGTGGGACTGAACTTTGGCTACTGAATGAATACACTGCAAAGTGGACAACTTCTGAAGCTGACTGTTTGTGAGGGATCCTCCAGAGTGGTTTGGCGAAGATGATAACAGGCAAGATTATGACAGAGCAAATTATTGTGTTGCTGCGCTAAAAATATGCCCCTGCTTAGGCCTCTTGTTTTTTTACTGACTACAGGTGTACCAAAAAGTCGTCGGGGAGAAATTTGGCAGTTCTTGGCTGTGCAACATCGAGTCAGACACAGACTGCCAAACAAGCAGCAGCCACCTGATGTCTCTTACAAAGAACTTCTGAAACAACTGACTGCTCAACAGCATGCCATCCTTGTAGATCTAGGTATGTCTGTTTGTAGCTGGGAGACTTTTCTGACTTGTTTCCGATGTCTTTGAGTGGAAACACATTAGTCTTAATGGAAGCTGTTGCTGGAGATCGGTACTGCTGTATCAGCCCCACTTTCTATGCTGTCAGGATGCATTCTGTGTATGCCACTTGGTGTCCCCTAAGCAGGTGATTCCTTAGGTTATGCTATTTGTATTTATGCTCTTCTACGTCTGTCTGAAAAGAGAAATCAATCAGTTGCTTCTGCACGTTCTATGCAGATGAGAGTATGAAATGAGCTCAATGGATACAGTCTAAAATCAGTGGTAAAATAAGGATTGATCTGACTAAAATCAACCTGCGTATGAAAGCAAAGAGAAGATGGGAAGAGAGAAGTGCTGGTTGTCAGATGGATCTGGGTTTTTTTATGGGAAAAATTGAACATCAACTACTCTTCTCTTTTTACATCAGGACGGACATTCCCAACACATCCTTACTTTTCTGCCCACCTGGGAGCAGGACAGCTATCACTCTTTAATCTCCTGAAAGCATACTCTTTGCTGGACAAAGAAGTGGGTTATTGTCAAGGTATAAGCTTTGTAGCTGGAGTGCTGCTTCTACATATGAGTGAGGAACAGGCCTTTGAAATGCTGAAATTCCTTATGTATGACCTTGGCTTCCGTAAACAGTACAGGCCAGACATGATGTCACTACAGGTAAGTCAGTGCTTTTCCTAAAGCAAACCAACTTTAAATTAGTTTTGAGCTCTCAGAGGTTGCTCGTGTTCCCTAGGGCCTTAAGAAGCTTCTTATGCTGTTTTGGAGGTTGAGGTGCATGCAAATGTTATTGTCGAACCCCTATCCAACTCTGAATTTTCAAACAGAGAAGTTCAGAACTTGCAGACTTCTCCTGTCATACGTCCTCATCATCTCCTGTTTGTAAACTCTGCTTTCTCTGCTATTTTGTTCTTCCTTTTCTTTTCTTCACTTCTCTCTCTTCCTTATGCCAAAAAAACCTCGGTGTGCTTGCATCTGTATAGATGGAGTTTAAAAAGAAATTTGATTTTGTTTTTCTTTAGTCCATAAGCACTTCAATGTGGATTTTTCGCTTGTAACTCCAAGTCAAATCAATAGTGACACCCAGTGTCCCGTCAGTGTACTGCACAGGCTTTTGTACCTGGGGCTACTCTGTCTTGCCTCATCGTTTGCACCAAAGTCTTTTCTCTCATCATCCTCTACCCCTCCACCCTCAACACAGAGAGGAACAGACGAATATTTAATCATTTAGTTTGCTTATGAAACGATGCATGCTTTGCATCTAGCTCTTTTAACAGCTAGCTATAGATATTCAAGGCTGCTTAGGAAGGAGACAAAGTCTTTCAGATCTGTATCAAATCCAGCATTTAAAGTTTGAGAAATCTTTCACCTTGAGATGCAGCTCTCTGCTGACTTAAATAACTATATGCTATAAACCCCTAATATGATAAAGGAATATACCACTACTGAGTTAGTTTGTAATGCACAGTGGAGAAAGAGAAAACCGAGGCAGATACAAAGTCTTTTTTTTTTTTTTTTCTTTTTCATGGTCCCTGCATAGCAAACACTTATAACTAAGTAAAAACTTAAGGGGGAGTTACAGTCCACCTTTCATGACCAGTCAGTTTAGGTGCGTATTTGGTAAATGTCCAGAGCAATAGAATAGATTGTAGTTAAAGAAACTGTATGTGCTTATTCTAAAAATGATAGTGTTTTACTGTGGATGTAAGTATGCTATAACAACTTTGCTGTGATGAATTAAGGGTGAACAGCCATAAAGAGCATTGTTCTGGCTTTTCCCTGTCTCATTGTTCCCCCCAGTATGTTTTGAACCAGTGGGGGTCAAAGTGTGATTAAATGCATGGTTGTGGGATTCCCCCCCCCAAGAGGCTCTCTTAGAATTTGTATGTTGTACTGCAGTTGTAGACTTCCAATAACATCTGATGGTTTGAGAGCATTCAGATGTCCAGGATTTCGCCTTTTGATTTAAATGAGTCTGAAACCTCCATTGTCAGAAGCTCTTATGGAGAACACTTTAAGTTTGGGAAGGTTTACTGCTTGTAGTACTTCTTGCCCTTTAAATGAAACAACCTCTCTTTCTCCACAGTTTGCTCCTAGGCAGTTATCCTGACAAAAGTACAAGTTTTGTCTGCTCAAGACAAACTGGACTATTTAAGATGACTTAGAGGTTCTTACAAAAGCCTAACCCTTTGTTTTTAAGGAGTAGAGCACTTGCAAATTCTTTTGCATTTACAGTACTGAAACACAAGTAAGCTTATATGTAGAATTAGTTTCCGTCCTGTAGAAGAAAAATGTTGGATGTTTCTTTTTAGGATAATGAAAACCTATTTGGCGAATATTTTTAATTGTTGTCTGGGAAAAGTAGTAATCTACATCCTTAGTTCATAATGAACTCATCCAATTGGTTTACTGCCTCTGTGATACTATTCTAATTTTACATGTAAATGTGTTTTGTATTGACATTGTCCAAACTGTGCTTAATTAAATCAAGGACTCAAATACATGCACAAATTTAGCTAATTTGCCTGAATGACAAGTGATCTGTATGCTTGCGGACACTGCTGACGATAGATAGTTTTAAGTGCATGCAGGGTTTTTGGTAGGGAAGAATCGTGACCGCTGAAAATAGGAAAATAACTGGATATAATAAGTCACTTTCTTATTGAGGAATGGATTCACCTTAAGCATAAGGCACTGTTGACAGCAAAATTGGACCTGACAGCTAATATGTCTGCTTCTTATCTTCTGCTTTCTGAGAGAAGTGTCAGTCTGTGCTGTGGGCAACTTATTGTGGAATGTAAACTACCAAAATTGCAAGGAAATAATTTGATAGAGTAGCAACTTTTAACCACTTTGCTTTGCAACCTTTTACAGATTGTATAGTATCACTTTTTGCATCAGTTTCTTAAATTCCTCTGGACCACTGGCATGTGGGAAGTGTGCAGGGAAGTATATATGTGGTATACTTCTATTGACCCACCATATCTAATGCACTTTGTGGGTACAGAAGCTGTCTGAAATGTTGATTGTAGCATAGGAGTTTTAAATGCAGCAAAAATATCACCAAGATTCAAAGGATGAAAGCTGAAACGTGTAAATTTAGCCAGAAATAGTTCAAATCTATAATGGAGAGTTTTGGCTTCTTGGAAGAGATACTTCTACTTTAATTGCTGCAAGACTGAAAGTTCTGGTTTGTTGATAAAGTTAGATCAATATATATATTCTCTTCTTACCTTAAACCTGTGAATTTGAAATGATTCCTCATTAATAATCAGGTTCAAACTGTACTTTGTTATTGAGTACTGTGTTGGTTTTAATTCATTAGGGGTGGGTTGTTTATACATGAGTAGATATCACTTGAGGCCCTAGGCAACAATTAAGCTTCATTTTACAGTGCCATCTGTACTGGTGTTAATTTCCCTCGAGTGAAATGTGAATGGTTTGGAAAACTGAGTAAAGCTGAACTTTTCTTTCTCTACTTCCTACCCACCCACCCCTCCTGCCCCCCCTCCCCAAATCCCCTCATGCACTATAGATTCAGATGTATCAGCTCTCAAGACTTCTTCATGATTATCACAGAGACCTGTATAATCATCTTGAAGAAAATGAAATCAGTCCCAGTCTTTATGCTGCACCATGGTTTCTTACACTATTCGCATCTCAGTTTCCATTAGGATTTGTAGCCAGAGTATTTGGTAAGAAAGTTTATTCTATTGCAATAATAAACAGAACAATGTTGTCCATTGTGTTTTGAAACTCTCGGGGAATAGTTTTCTACATACTAGGGACGTTTTGGGTGACTTTTGTGGGTGGCAAGTAGCAACACTCTTCATGGTGGGATGTCAGCTCCTTTTCAAAGAGGAAAACCAAATTGTATTCTTTGAAACATCAGACTTGAGCAATTAAGTATGTCTGTTGTTATTAGCCAGGAGACTTCTGAACTGTGAACAGCAGGAAGTTTATTGCTGCAAATGTATTTTAAACATCAAGCATTCAGTTTATGTCTATAGAAAAGTTCATCTTGCTGAACTTGCAAATTGAAAAAAAGAAAATGTATTGATTTTTCAAGAGTGTGTTTCTCAATAACTGATTCTAAAGTGATTTCTAATAAAAATTCACGTAAACTTGAACTTAAAGGCTGTTTCATGTATTCATGTAGGTATCGAACAGTTTCCTCATCTTAGTATGCCTCTTAGTCCATATAGTTTTTTCATGTTATGCTCCTCTTCAGCTAAAGCCTAATACAGAAACTTAAATATTCATTGTGCCTTGTGGTGTTTACAGTATCAGCATGTCAAGTATTTTGTTTTGTATTCTTTCATTGTCAATAAGAACTGCTAGCTGAATCAAATCTCTAGTAATGAAGCTTTTTAAAAAAAATCATTTATTAATATAAAACTCATTTTTCTCAGATATGCACTGAGAAGCTAAGAGCATATATCATGTATTTCCTCTTAAGTCAGACTTTTTTTTCTATTTGATTTTTTTTTTCTGTTTTCAGATAGCATGTTTTGGTTTTGTTTAAGAAATTTAACTTGACTTTTGTCTCATGGTTTGTTTTTTTTTTTTACTGGAGTGTGTTAGGGTTTTGTTTGCTGTGGTGGTTTGGTGAGGAAGAGGGGTTTGGTTGGTTGGTTTTGGTTTCATTGTTTTTTGACCTAGTGATTTCTTCATTACAGTGTTTTTTTTCTTTTACAGCAAACTTTTTATGACTGCTCTTTGGGTGAACAAATGATTGGTATATCTGTTTTTCAGTGGTATTCACGTGATTCGTACTTCTCTTTCCCAGTGGGATTATTGAATTCTGGGACACTCAAGCTTTTATTTATTTGTTTGTTTGTTTTTCAAGGCTAAAGTGTTCTTTTTTTTTTTTTTTCAAAGTCTTCAGTGGGCTTTGAATTTGGAAATCTAACTAAGGGTGGGGTGGGTCAGTATTCATTTCTCTGTAAATAAGCTGAGCAAGGCATGTTCCCATTTTAAAACTCACAAGTCGCTATATTGCTTTACTTCCTAATGCGTTGGAGTCCTGCATCGTCAGTGTTTTATGGGCCATTGTCACGTATCAGGAACAGATGGTTAATGTCTACGCATCACAAATTATATACTTATATTTATGCTGCTTGAGTGTGCATCAGAGACTTGAGAAGGGAGACTTTTAGGAACTGTGTATGAGTTGAGATGGCTGCCTTGCTGGTGTCCAGGTGCTACCCAGTGATACTGGATTAGGGACAGGGATGACCTCTTCATATCAGGATCAGAAGTTGAGTTTGTTCAGTTGCGTAGCCCTGGTGTGACAGAGCCAACGGCACAGGAGGCTTATTTGAACTGCCCATGTGCTGCATTCATCTTGCTATAACTGCAAGTCCACTGCTGCTACCGAAACTGAGTTTCTACTTACTGTGATCACGTTTCCAGTTTCTGTGCAGTCTGTGTCTACTGACTTCTGCAGAGCCCATACTTTCCACTTGCATCCACATCGTAAAAGTAAGGGTTTGGGGCTTAAATTACAGCCAATGTGATCACTACTATGGATTTTGAAAATAATGTGATTGGTTATGGAATCTACATGATGCTTTTTTAAGGACTAGCTTTTCCCTGTAGAAAACAGTAAAATGTCAGTACGTTGTGTTGTGATCCTCTTCCCGATTGCTTTTTAGTCATGCATGCACTTAAAAATAGTTAGCAGTTAGTTAAGTCTACAGTAGACACTAATGAAATGCTTATTGCAGATAACAGTAACAGGAGTAACAAGCATGCACTATTTTCTTTAATGTTCTCTCACATCTGCAAGATGACAGAAAATGCTTTTATATGTTTTAACCTCATGTTGAAATAAGACAGATAGCACTTCTGAACTGAATAAATCTGCAGTATGATTGATTAAAAAGAAAAAAATCTCAGCACATATATAACTATTTATCCAATATTTTAGCTCTCGTTTTCAAGATAATTTATCTTCTTTTTTAGACATTATTTTTCTTCAAGGAACGGAAGTCATATTTAAAGTAGCACTGAGCTTACTTAGCAGTCAAGAAACATCTATAATGGGATGTGAGAGTTTTGAGAACATTGTTGATTTTCTTAAAACCACTATTCCAGATATGACTCAGCCTCAAATGGAGAAAATTATTACCCAGGTAAGATTGGTTTTCTCTTTACTTTTTTCCCCACCATTTAGTTTTCTTTAAAAGAATCATGCCTAAGGTATATGTAAAAGTCTTCTCAGTATGTTCCTTTTGGTTTGAAATGCAAAGGAGTCTTCTTCCCAAGGATTGTGTAGAAATAGGATATAAGCTAATTTCAATGGATTTTGAACTGCAATTTTAGCAAGACTTTCGTTGCTACCTCAAGGTTCAGTACAAAGGTTCTTTTGTGCTCCAGCTATTGGGAAAACATTACTTTACTTACAAATCTCACATCACCATCAGAAGGGTAAAAGTAGCCTATTTTCCAAACCTAAACCCAGCTGTTGCTCCCTGCTAGTGCGTGAGCAGTCCAACAGTTTGTGACGGGAAGCACAGCTTGCCATGGTGGGAAGAGGCAGCATCACACCAACTTCTCCTGATCCTTCGAACTTCTGGCTACACAGGGCCAGTACCTCCTAGGAAGTTTTTTGACACCTCCAACTTAAAATCCTACAAGCTAGGAGGTTGGTGAGGCCCTGTTTACATGATCTGTATTAAAATCAAAGTCAAGCAAAGTTTTGCTGTTCTGATGCTGGGGTGGCTTCTCTCCTCCTGGGGATCACCTTTAAGGTGCCCTAGTGCAACTTCCCTTTCTCGCCTCAACCCTGTCCTTGGAAGGATCATATTTGGCAGATGCTTGGTGCCAGAGGTAAACACCCCTCAGGACTGATCCCTGCCCTTTATTGGGTAAGGGAAAGGAGGACTGGAGTAGTGTTATTTCATAAGTATCATTATAACTTTGTGGCAAAGGGCAAGAATAGAAGAGAAATAAGGAATTACTGGAACAGCATCTGCTAAAGCTTCTTGTGAAATAGTCAGTGGCTGGGATCTTCATGTCTCTGCCTCCTCGTCCTCTGTATTGAAGCTGCAAATTGAAATGAGTCTCAATCTAGTACCTTTACTGTGAACCTGTAAGCAGTTTTCCCTCTTCAGGTGGCAGTTCGGAGATAACAGAAGAGCTCTAGAAAACCATCTCCGTATGCAGGAGTGAAGTTAATACTGATGCATTTCTATGGCTTGATTAACGCTTGCATGTTTCGGGTGCTGTCAGTTAAGAATTCACTTTTAGACGATGTGTAAAATCTTCATTTCCTCATTGCACTGGTTGAGATTGCCATGTTAAACCTGTGTTAGGCACTTCAGTGTCTACCTTCACAACTCACTGATTCTGGCGATGATAGAGGTGGTATTTCAATGCTTTTGATACTGTTAGAAATTAAATCTCTGTCCCCCATGGTCTGTGTGGGTTGCAGAGCAATCGTGCTGCGGTGGGCATGGTAGAAGTGGCTTTGTGCAGAGCCGTGTCTGATTGAGTAAAGAATGGATTATGTAGTCTGAGCGGAGGTGGATGTGGTTATATGCAGGTCAGCTCAGCTCTGAGAGGAAGGTTGCGTGCTTGCCCGTAGTGTGGTTTCATGCTGAGCAGTCTTCTGGATCTGCATTCACATGTACACTGCCTATATTGTGTTGCTCCTACCTAGGCTGGCTGCGGGTGGAGTTGTTTGGCTGTCTCAGAGTTGTAATTCCCAGGACTGTCCTCTTAAAGCAGATAATGGGGAAAAAAAAAAAAGTAGACATTGTGCAGGATTATAATGCTCTGATTAAGAACTGACCAGGTCGCTACACAGAGGAAAATGGCACTTGCCCAGCTTGAGCACCATATGTAATTTAAAGTTTTACCTCATTTGAATTATCTGAAGAACAGTGAACGTAATGCAGAACTTGTTTTGTTGGGGGATCTGTGTGTGTCTTCTGTTGCTGTATTGTTTGTGATCTCTAGAACAAGGAGCAGAATTAATGTCACTGTAGACATCCTTCGCTTCATCATCAAAACTGTTTGGTAACTTTCAGAAGTGGAGAGACTGTGACGAGATGTATAGACAGATAAGGGTCATATGGTCCCATCACTGCTAGTTCCAAGTTTTCACAATGCTTTGTCATCAAAGCATCCTAATAAGAAAACAGTCTATTGTCACACAGAGGCAGAACACAGGGAAACTGTGACCATTAAGAGTGTTGTTTAAAAGTTTATAAATGTGCTCTTGGAGTCAAGAGATCCATTTTTGAGGGTGGAGATCTGATGACTCCTGGATTATTCTTTCTCATTGTGTGATCCTGTTCACATCACAAGATGGTGAGACTTGAATTTAAAAATTTCTTCCTGAACTTCTGAATATTCCTGAGCAAGAGATAATAAGACTTAGTCGTA